TGTGTCTTTCATGGGATCACATTTTTCAGATGTGCCAGCTTCATTAGCACATGATGTGTTTCATTATTATTTATTCCAGGCCATTGGAGGCTTCATTAGCTGCAGGCTGATGCGGCACGCAGCCTCTAAATTTAGCAGCATTTTATTTATTCAGAATAGCCACGTGTTGGATGGTATGCCCAGTTGCCATGTTCTCTCACAGCGGCTTAGAGACACGTAGAGAAAAGAGAGGTGGGCTGGTCTGGGGAGAAATGGGCCTCATTCCACCTGTGTCACCCCCACCAGGCGTCTGTCTCTCTTCAGCTCTTTGAAGCCTCTTTAATTCCGGCGTTCAGGATTAAGCCCGTGGAAAAAAAGGATAAAAAAGTGATAGAGCGACAGAAGAAGACATCCTAGGAGAGAACAGGCTCCTTTGAAATATGTTAAGAAATTCGTTTGCACTGACCCACAATACGACATCTGAGGGAAATTTGTGCGACACTTTTTTTTTTCCTGATCGAGGGGGGGCTGGCCATAGGATTTGCATGAATAGAAAAAGGACTCTTTGAAGTCATGGTTGTAAGTGGTGCCGGAGCATTCGGCAATCTAAATGAGCGCCCCGAGACGATTGTCCTTGCATCCACAGTCTGAGAAAGTTGCCTTGTCACCGCATGTTTTATTGGAAGTCAAAGGAATCAAGTAATTTCCTGTCACAGAAACCATTGACATAATCCACCTTTTGTGGAGTCTCTCCGTGCGGCTGTGTGTCGTGCCAGAGTGGATTGATAGAAATGTGGATATTACAGTTTTAAGTGGACGACAGAGTTGAAGTACAATTAGAGAGGTAGTCACAACTAGTGTTTAGACAGCGCGGTCTGGAAAAATCCTCAGTGGCATTAAGCAAACAGCTGTCGTTTAATTTCAGATGACATTTTGTAGATGTGCAGACCTACTGCAGTTTTAATTGACACGTACAGAAACTGCTGGTTAAAAAACACTGGATATTCTTGCCAGGTGTTTTCACAAACTGAAAAACCCCAAGGCCTGCCAGCAGATTTTAAACCATGTTGTGAATAAAAAAACAAATCACCAAAATTTCACCATTTATCAGAGCCAGCGAGTGTAAAAACAGAAAGAACTGACAGGGTTTCAACTTTTTGATGGTTCTTTAACTACTTACCTGTGGCATGGCATTTCACCAGAAAGCAATGATACATCTTTAAAATCAACTTTTCCTATGTGTCTTATTTAAAAAATTTGCTAAATATGATAATAACTAGAGACCCTCACGAGAGGGCCATAGTTGCCCAGTGGGTACATGTTTACCTGATTCTGTGTTTTACTGTGCACCTACTTCAGGATGAACTTGCATCGATTTTGCCTTAAAATGTTACGTAATGTAACAAGAGCTTAGTCTGTCATGTAACACAGGTTTTTTGGGAGTTTTTGCTGTATTTTACACCTACGACTAATCACCTAAGATTTATGATCTTGAGTTTGACCTTCACCTTTCATCCAAGGTCAAATGTCACATAACCAATATGGGTTCCTATCGGATTGTAATAAAAACCATGTGTTTATCTTACACCCTTTCTAATGTTATAATGGATTTAAAATTTGTGATGATTGAAAACTTTCAGTGTGACCTTTCCCTCAGTCTCAAGGTCATACGTTGCATCACCAGTTTACAGGCCTCGAATGTCTTCCTAAGTTAGTATACTGAACTTATGTCTTTTTGTGCATTTTCAGTCGTACAGAGCTGTTTTGGGGAAACGCAACCTTTGACCTCTGTAGTGGTCACCAAAGCATGTACTGACCCCAAAATCTAATCACTCCGAGAACAGACCATACCGAGGTCATGTATGAAGTTTCCGGTTCAAACTCCTTTCCTGTAAAGCGCTAGACTGTTAACAGACTCAGACTAACAGACTCATTAGTGACTCAGCTGTTACCAATAGTCCATCCATCCATTATCTATACATCGCTTAATCCTCACTAGGGTCGTGGGGGGGGGGCTGGAGCCTATCCCAGCTGACTTAGGGCGAAGGCAGGGGACACCCTGGACAGGTCACCAGTCCATCGCAGGGCCACACTTAGAGACAGACAACCAAGCACACTCACATTCACAACTACAGACATTTTAGAATCACCAGTTAACCTCAACATGTTTTTGGACTGTGTGGGAGGAATGTTACCAATAGTCATGTGACAAAAAAACACTTTTTGGTTGAACTGCAGGCTGTGTTTGCATGGAGCAGAGAGGATTATGGAAAAAACATAAAAAATGGAAGTAGTAATAGAATATCTCCAGTATGTAGAGTTACCATTTCTTCTTTCTCCTAACACTTGTAGCCAGTTGGAAAAATGTTGTACATGTTTTTCCCCCCATTTTATTGTCAAATAAATACTAGAAATCCAAGTTTTTAAAGATTTATGGCGATACATTATTGAGTTCTCTCTCCTTCTAGCCATGATTGTGCTGTTTCCATAGAGGTGCAGGACTTTATATTGCATCAAAGAAGAAATCCAGACTGAATAAAAATGTGAACAGGAGCAAAACAAATAAACAAAAAACCAAACAACAAAAACAACACACACCCAGAAACTGGATTCTGAGGGTTAAAGGTTATGTGCCATATCAGACTACCTGAAACAGCTTAATCATCAACAGGCTGTCACACTGACGCTGTTTGTAAGGAAGCACAGTGTGGATATTGGAGTGTCCTAAGTTTCTTTGGAATGTAATGAAATGACTACAAACTAGTGCAAAGTTTGCCCTAAATACACCCTAGGTAAGGCTTTTGTGAAGTTCACTTTTACAGGGGAAACTTTTATTTATTTTTTTTTCTGCAGCCAGCTTGGCTCCCAGAGGCTTTCTTTTAATTCTATTATCGTTTTTAAGGCCATTTTTCCGTGTCTCTCTGTAAACATATTGCAATTTGCCGCCTCTCTTTGTCGCTGCGTGTCGGCTTCTGTTTTGCTTATGCTGTCAACATTTTGATGCTGCAAGAATGTTTTGCAGTCCGTGCAGTTTTTTGTGACGCTTCCTTGAAAACTCAAACATAAGAGTTATTGTGGCGCCTCTTAAAGCCGACACAGGCTTGTAATTGCCAGTGGAAATGTCTTTGAAATTGAAGTTTTGTTACTTAGCAGGCGAAATTATTCTTCCCCTGACATGCCCTTTATTTTGTCCACTCTGTAGTGTGCATGTAAACTCAAATTTCTGTTTATTTTTTTTTGTGTGTGCTTCTTAGTTAAATCGTGACAGAACCCTGAGTTGCCCCTCCTTCTTAATTAAAGCTGTAAAAACCTCCCTCACACATTTCTGTCCTGAATAAGCACAGACAGGGATTTTATTGCACCATTTCAATTTTAATGGAAATATTTAAGGCCATGAATTGAAAATGGCACGATACATTTATGCAGTGAAATGGGTTAAGGGGGAGGGGAGGGGGGAGAAAGATTGAGGCAGTAAATGGGAAGAAAAATAAAATCATCAAATCGAGTAGTGGGCACTTAAATGCAAATGAGTGTTTCCAGTGAAATTAACAGGGTCCCCCCTGGGCAAACGTCTAATCAGTGGTCTCCCCACTTAGTTCAGCGAGCGAGGCCAGGATAACATAATAAAACACAGCTTCGGCAAGTGACTTCCTGGAAGTTTGATCAGTGGGTTTCAGTTTGACAAATGTGCCTGCGGTCTTGAATGACAAGGTGGCAAGAGAGGGAGGCCACTACCGAGAGCGTGCGAGCTCAAAAACCACACGCAACCATAGACGCACATTTGCTGTGTGGGCAATAGCTGCTTGAAAGCCACCTGCCGTTCCATATTTACCACAGCCTGGGCAAACAGCAGTGAGCGAGGACTCCACAGGCACCTGCTGTTAGCCGGTATGATGCTGTCTGTATTTTACAAGGATATTGTGTGATCATGTTTCCTGAGACAAAACAGTGTACTTCCTGAACACATTGTGCTTCGAGGTGTTGTAGAGAGAGAGAGCGAGAGAGAGAGAGAGAGAGAGAGAGCAAAAAAAGCAAAGTGCAAATGAAGTTGGACCAGATCCAAGCTTTTTGAAACAGGCTTTTATTGTGTTATGGTTTGAGATCTAGCTCTTGGCCTTAATCTTTCTTTACCCCTACACAGAGGAGTTTTATTTTTTCCACCAGTGATCATTTCTGATATTAAGTCAATTAAATCCAAAATAACACACCCTTTATATAACTGGAGCAGCGAGTTGAGTCATACGCAAACACCTACGCCACGTACTGTTAGCTTGAGGCAAATTTTAAATGGCTTTACCCCCAATAACCTAAATTTGTTAATCTATATCATGATATACTTTATGTGGTGTAGCCATTAAAGGGTCAGTCCACCCAAATTACTGTTGTTGATACTCCTGATAGTCTTGTTTGTCATGCAAATCCTTTGGGTTTCATTTGGCCTGCCTCTCGTGTTTCTGACTCCTCACTTGAGATGGAGTAGAACGTAATAAAAAACACAAACCCAGCAGCATTTCCATACCAACAAGCCACTCATCTTGCTGTGAACAGGTTTTACTAGAACTACTTTTTTACCAAAGACATTTACAACCCTTATAGGAGCAGTTCATTTTGGGACATATGTTCTCTCTCCTCACTTTCTTGCAGATGAGAAGATTGTTTCATATCTGTCTATTAAATCGTGAGCCAAGAGACAGCGCAGTTTACAAGAAAATCTGGAAACAAGACTCCTTGCTTGTTTTTTTTTCATTTGCTGCTCAACTGCGAGATGTGTGGCACTTTTCATGTGCAACACTTCTCAATGTCTCCGTGTAAATTATGTGCAAACGTGTTTGTAAATGATGAGGCGACTCACCGACTAAGATCTTCGATTGCACGTGAGAGTATGTGTGTTTAAGCGTAGGGGTTATGTTAACCACGCGCCTGCTGTTTGTTGAAGTCATGTCTTAGTAGTTAATGTGCGTTTATATGTGCTTTTAACTTCATTAATAATAAAACACCTCCTCGTTTTCTGTTCCCTACAGAGATGGCAAGCTGGGTCTCCCTCCTCCTTTTCCTCTACTGCCAGTCAATCTCACAAGCCCAGGAGGAGAGCAGCAACAACCCAGTCTTGGAGTTCACCTCCGAGACTCCCATTAACAATGTGGTCCAGGACCCCCAAACTGGTCGCATCTACCTGGGAGCGGTCAACACCATCTTCCAGCTGGGGCCATCCCTCCGCCAGGAGGCTCGTGCCGAGACGGGCCCCAAAGAAGACTCCCGGACCTGTACGCCTCCAGCTTCAGCCTGCCAGGACACGAAGCCCATGCCCAACCTCAACAAGCTCATGCTGGTCCACCCATCCAACGGTTCGCTTATAGTCTGCGGCAGTCGATACCGAGGCATCTGCTCCCTCCTCAACCTGTCCAACGTGGAACAGCAGCTGTATTACAGTGACAGTAAAGGAGAGAAGACTTATGTGGCGAGCATAGAGGACAACGTTAACGTGGTGGGCGTCATGTCCACCTATTCAAAAGAGGCGCAACCCTTAAATGTGTTTGTTGTTGGGAAGGGCTATGGAACCCTGGACAGTACAAAACTCATCAGCACACGAATCCTTCAGGACTTTAAGGAATGGGTCGTATTTGAGAGCATCATCGAGGCGTCCACAGTACAGACGACGCCATTTGTTCCCAAGTACCTGCACGACTTCCGACATGCCTTCAAAGAGGATGGATTTGTTTATTTCCTCTTTTCTCGGACACTTGACGGTACAGACAACAAAAACCTAACCTTTGTGTCTCGTCTTTGCGAGGATGACCACCATTACTATTCCCACACAGAGCTCCAGCTAAACTGTGGTACGAATAACCGATACAACAAAGTCCAAGCAGCTTATGTGGCTTCTCCAGGAAAAGAGCTGGCGCGGGTCATGACTGAATCAGGTGTGTATGGGAAGGTCGTGCCGTGGAGTAAAGTCCTGTTCATGGTGGCGAGCCCGGATGACGACGACAGCGACTCAGCTCTCTGCATGTACCCGCTTAACTCCATCAATGAGCGGCTGGTGGATATCATCAGCGCATGCTACAGTGACTCCGGAAAGATTTCTGGGTTTCCTGCTGTGGACATACCCTACTCCTCTAAAACTGACGAGTTTTGCACGTCAAGAATTGCGGTAAGCTCTCCTTTTGTGTCAACTGATTGAAGTTTAAAAGAGTCTGTTTGAAATAAATGGGAAAAAGTGACATATGTTTGGAAGAATTCCCTGTGGCGTGATCAATAATGCACAGATGTGTCACGGTTTACTTTAATGTCTCGGTGTTTACTTTGTCTTGCAGATCCTTTGTGTTGTTCTGTCTAAATCGCTCATTCTGTCTCTTAGTTTTTTTTCTCCTTTCTTGTCTTTTTCCCCAGTTCCCTCAACTCATCCATAATAAAACCATATAGGAGATGTAGGCAAATAGCAGCCCGTGGGCCGAATCAGGCCCTCTGGTTTGGCTCTATCATTAGAAAAAAGCTGTTAAATCTCACTCTCTGCATTAACATCTAATACTGTCTCAATGTGAGGAGAGCCATGCTGCTGCCAATGACACACGCTCCTGAAATAAATACCTTTAGGGGAGGAATGCGAGTGGTAATGATTTAATCCAGCTTGTTTTAGGAGGTATCCATTGAATTCAAACAGTTTTAACTTAGTTTTTTTTAAGGCTACTTTGCCGGAACAGAAATCAGTATCACTGTAACAGAAACTGACATTTCACTTTCTTTTTTTTCTTTTTTTTTTCCGGAGGGCTTCATTTAAGGTTCATTCATCCATAAATTAAGCAAGCCGCTGTTCATCATTTCCGGATCAATTTAATTTCTCACAATTCAGTGCTGAACTTATATTTGCATATATGAGTCATTTTTTTTGCTAAATGAGTGTTAACAGAAGCTGCTGTATCTTTCTTATCACAAACTTGCTAAGTGGAAAAATTTCATCTTCTGCTATTATGAAGTCCTAAAATGACCTGCTTTATAAATACGTTTGATTTGTACACTAAGCAGTCAAAACATTTTGTAGTCATTCATTTTTACTATACCTGTACAATAACTTTAGTGTAGTTGGTGAATGTTAAAAGCACACCGCTAACACCTGACGTGGTTTTATTGACAGCATATGCAGCAATGCTAAGAGGTTTAATTCCCACATGTTTCTGTTTAGATTGCTTTGGATTAATGGCCAAACCACATGTCATCATCCTTGTGTGCTATCTTTTCCCTTTACAGAAGGATACGTTGGAAAACTTCAAATGTGGTGCAGACTTTCTGCCTTCCCCTCTGGCAAGCAAGCCCAGATTTGCCTTAACGGCAGATGCAGCGCTGACCAAGTCGGGCCTTCTGACCGCCGTGGCAGTTGCCGTGGAGAATGATCACACCATCGCCTTCCTGGGCAACAACCAGGGAGAGGTCTTCAAGGTGGAGTTGTCTCTTGATCTGCAGCTTTATTCTATTTTTTCCCTCGTTAATCTGTTACCTGAGGGAAAGGAGCATCGTGCAAATTAAAAACCTATCTGACAGTGTTACATTGTTGTTGTTTTTTTTTTTCTTGTCCAGGTGCACCTCACCACCGAGCCATATGTGTACAGCAAGGTTCCTGGCGACACCAGAGGAGAGAAGGTCAACAAAAACCTCTTCTTTGACCTCAGTCACAGCCACCTCTACATTACCACTGAGAAAAAGGTGTGTGTGAGTCAGCGCTCTTATCTAACACATATCATGTACAATATGTGTCTACACAGGAGGGTTCAGGCAGAGTACTTTGTGTAGGTCACCTGTGTTATGGCAGCGCTCAAAGCTAGATACACAACCAGTGCAGTCACGCAAGACAGACAAAATACACTTGAAGCCTGAAAAACCGGCTTAGTATGCTGCAGTATGATGTATTTTTGTGTGCCAGAAATGACACAGTTGAATATGCGTTTATAATACACAATGACCGCCAAAAATACACAATTTGACATATGTTTTTCAGCATAAATCTAAGGTATAGTACAGGGTACAATCAGTTCATTAAGAAGTACATTAGTATTATTAGCAAAAGTATTTATTAGGAGGAAATGACCTTTTAACAATATTAAATAGTATTATTACTAAATATGTATGTGTGTGTGTGTGTGTGTGTGTGTATATATATATATAATTTATTAGACCACCACCCAATATAAGGTTTATGCCACAGCTGCCCTAAATTAACAGCATCAGAAATTACTAAAATCATTTCTTGCTTCTGTAATGGTTAATACACAAGTATGTCGAAGCTCTTTAACAGAAAGGATACTTTTAATGTTAAAATATAACTACTGTTTTTATCGTTGAATTTTTGAATTTACTGTTTAAGAAAAAAAACCCAGAAAAAATAGTAAAGCACATTATTATTTCTTGATTAAGATGTCAAATTATAGTTATTTACTTGCATTCCTGAACAGAAAAATTAGTTTTAGTGGTTGAATGTTGTGCTTGATTCATTTCGGACTTCTCAGAGAACCCCAGTGACACCAGCTTAAATTTGATTATAAAAAGGTGAATTCAGTTTGAAATTCCTCTTTCCTGTTCAAAATGGTAAAACCTCGAGAGCTGAGTACAAATTAAAGCACTTCATGATGCTGGATGGTCTATAAATATGTATAGACCATACATCATGTTATTAAACTGTTATACTTACAGGTGCATTAACATGAAGCAGCAGCTTATTGTTGTCTGTGCTTGACGTGGAGCTAAGCTTACAAACTTAATATACCGCTGGGGGAGTTTAATCTACAACACTGTATCATATTTTCTAAGATTATTCTCCCACATATAGTCTGATAATACAACTGAACTACAATGTCATTTCACTTCATTCAGTCTGTTTGAATCACTGATTAAACCGAGAGATTTGTTCACGGATTCAAAAAGTCTGACGGAGGAAAGATGTGGGGTTAAAGAGTGGCTTATACTCACTCAAAACAAGTTTGAATGACGTTTTGGAAATAGAAAGTGTTTATAGCTCTGCCAAGCGTCCTCAGTCGAAGGCAGATTGGAAAGCCAACTGTCTTACAGGGGCGAGATGTGAAACCGTTTAAGTATGGAGATAACATTTTTAGACGGTTTCTCCTGGAAGGCATTGATGGTTTTGCACATTGCACACATGAAAAGTGGCAGAAATGGTTGTATCAAGAATGAATAAAGTGATCTAGAGAGAACCCTGGCTACTTTCTCACATCCACACAGCGGGCCAATCACAGCATGAATTTCTTGTGAATTTCAGACTGTTGGTTTTAGAAAGTTACGAAAAATGTTTAAAAAGCGGATAGAGCCTCCCCAATCAGACGGGAGAAAGGGTTTCCAGAGATATTAAACTCTTTGATTTGAAGCATACTGGTCCTCTGAAGAGGTTTTTGGATGCTGTTAGACAGCTGAGGAGTATTTTGCATGCTGAAGCCATCAAGCAATACACAATTGAAGTACTCGACTACATGTAAAAAGTAATTGTACCGATTTTTTTCCACCTGTGGGCACGGTAAACATTTAGTATTTGAATTGAATAATGCGGTTTTGTAACCGAACACGGGGAGCAGACACAGGAGACCGTGTGCTGTGACAGTGCTTGTTTCACTCCCACTCTGCACACCTGCAACAAACCACAAAGCATCTCTAGCAGTGCTTTAAATGCTTCCTATTTTGTGCAATGTCTCCCCTAAGGTGCACTGTTTGATCATATTTCATGTGGTAATGCTGCAGATCACCAAGGTGCCGGTGCAGACGTGCCTCCAAAAGAAAGACTGCCAATCATGCGTGGAACTGAGGGACCCTTACTGTGGCTGGTGTGTCCTGGAGGGAAGGTGAGGATCTCAGACACACACACACACACTTGCACACAGCCTGTCAGGCACAAACTTGCAAATGCATGCACGCAGCAACAGACTAACACAAACACCCACACATACAATTCCATCTGTAAAACACAGCGGGGTATTTGTTCAGTGTTTTATTGCAGACACTTTTAGTACCCCTCTGTGTTTATATTCCATCTCCTGTTGTCCGTGCAGCCGTAAGGAATTAAAGCTGTTTGTCAGCCTCATGCAGCGAAGACAGACTGTGCAATTTACTCTCATCATCCTATATGTATCAGGGTCTGGAGGGTAGAAAGGTGTACATGTATCATGTGTTTTATAAGGATGCGATCAGAAGCAAGAAGGGAGAAAGTGTGTCCCTCTGAAAGCTGATGATACGCTTTTCTTAGTGCACTTTACTTTTTCATTTGTGTTCGAGCTGTAAAAATTGTCAGTAAGTTAATTTAGTTGAATAATCAGCAGCTATATTCACAATCTGTTATTTGTTTCAAGCATTTGTCAGGCAGAAGATTCAATGGCTTCAAATGTGATTTTTTTTTTTTTGCCACATGTTACAGAAAATGTTTGGTTTTTGGACCACTGGTCAAATAAATGGACACTTCTGACTCGAGGACAGTGTGGTGGACATGTGGCAATTACAAGATGGATAGCTGAAGAATCAACTGAACTGATACATTTTAAAACTAGTTATTTATAGCTGGATGTTTGTTCACTTCTACCTCTCTGCAACAGTTTATCTGATATGACTTTCCACTGATACGTGAAGCTCCATTGTATGCTATGCTCCTGTTGCATCACCAGGCCACATGGTCCAGACATGCCTGTGCTAGTATTGTATTTTTCTTCCAGTACTTATGTCAGTTGGAATTGTGTTTTTGCCCAGTTGATAATGACAAAACAACAAAACAAAAAGAAAACAGTGATATCTTAAACTGTATTGTTATTTTGGATGATGTATTCTGTATCTAGTGCAATGCTCTGTGATTGTAAAAGTCATCACCATCAAACTATGTAACATCAAATTAGGTTACATGTTGTTTTCAGAATTTATTGAGAATTTGTTGATTCATCATTTAATCTGTAGAATAGAAAATTGTCCAAAAAACCCCCCAAAAAGTACATCACAATTTCAGAAAGCCCCAGATTCATTCTTGAATATATAATGAAAATATTAAAAAATGTAAATTCCTGACAGTTGAGCAGATAGGAATGGGGAATAGTTGGCATTTTTTCTTAAAGGTTACACTAAAGATATTAGATTAAGTGATTTTAAATATAGTAGCAAAACTAGTTGACAGCGAGGACCTTTACTGGTTTTTATATCTGTACAAAATGACTTTTAGAAAACCGGCACAAACCCTGGTTGAAGTCACTCGGGCATTGGGTTGTTGTTCACAAAAGCACATTGAAAATCTGTCAGAGTCCATAGGCTTTGTTTTTTCGGGGCTTTGTGAAAGCGTTTATGGGATGTTGAGCTGAAACTGATGGGAATTGTTCATCCTTCGTCTGAAGGTGTACCAGGAGGTCTGAGTGCCGACGGGCAGAGGAGAAGAATGGCTGGTTGTGGAGCCCGAGGCAGCAGTGTGTCAAGATTGTATCCTTCTATCCCCCGAACCTTTCCTGTAAAAAGACTGACAAGGTACAGCACTGCTTCTCTTCTCACTCATTCTCTCTGACTCTGTTCCTTTGTTCTCTCTTTGTCTCTCTTGCTCTGCAGCACACAACTCTGCTTACATGCACGTCACACAAACATGCGTATAGCCTGAGTAATAACCTGTTTACATTGTGAATCAGAGACCTTGTGCTCTAGCTCTTCCTGCTCCGTATTGATCCATCCACAAGACTCCAAACTGTCTTATTATAACCAACCTGGTTGATTGTGCTCACAGTGTGGAGATGGAGAGGCTCTCTTATGTGCTTTCCCTCTCAAGTTGTTTTCTTCATTCCCTCGCTTTCACACTACTTTTCTGTCCCTCCTTTTCTGAGTCACACTCGAATTTTCAACAGCAGCGCATCTCCCCCTTTTTCATTTTCAATCCAACCTCCCAACAGCTTCTGTATTGTGACTTTAGTTACACTCAGATGCAAAATTATGTTTAGAGCAGCACAATTAACCTAACGAGTAATATTCAACATTGTTTTCATGCTGTTTCAAAGTCTTTGTGCGCTTTTTATCTGTCCAGGTGAAGATCAACATCCCCTCCCTTCCGTCAATTGGATCCTCTGACCGTCTGCACTGCAGCATTGAGTCTTTCCAGAGTGATGGCACCATGGTGGACTCTGGTCAGGTCTCCTGTGATCTGCCCCAGCCTTCGCTTATACCGCAAACACCTGAGGACCAAGGTACTGCCTTTTTAATTAACCTGCAAGGTTTTTATCCTCTTTCAAGGCAAATGTCTGTAGTTTTTCATTATAGCTAACGCCATGTTACAGACTTGACAAAGTGGGTGGTGGCCCGAAAAGCCTTAGGTTAACTGTGTGTCAGCTGGTTTTGACAGTTTAATTGATTGTGGATTTAATAAAGAATTTGCACCTTAAAATTACAATATCAGGCTAGGTTAGACCTTGCAGTTTGAACTATTTTTTCATGACCAGGTCTTGTTGAGGCTGCTTTGAGGCAACCTGTGTCAAAATCTATTTTTATTATCTTAGTGCACAGTGTTTTATAGCAGCGGTGGGCCACCTCTCCTTAAATCATAAAAATTAATTCATGTAATAAAACACGAAGCTTTTTGTGAGCAGGGCAGAGGTGCTTTTTCACCCCTGAAAATGCGATATATGTGTTGTTTAGGCAGTCGCATATTTGCCAAATTGATGGTGTGAAAATTTGTGACAGTATCAAAGTTGTTTTACCATCTCAGCTAAATAACTTCCTGGGAGTACTGGTTGGCCCAGATTTATTGTACCCCTGTGTTCTTTGCCAAAATATATTGTCCTTTCTGTGTTGTTTTGTCTTCAAATGCACCAGTGACATCTTGTCAAACACTGATCGGCCACAACATTAAAAACACTGACAGGTGAAGTGAAATAACATTGATCATCTTGTTACGATGGCAGCTGTCAAGGGGAGGGATATATTAGGCAGCAAGTCACCAGTCAGCTTTTGAAGTTGATGCGTTGGAAGTAGGAAAAATGGTAAAACATAAGGATCTGAGTGACTTTGACAAGGGCCAAATAATGACGGTCAGACAGCTGGGTCAGAGGATCTCCAAGACATCAGGTTGTGTCGAGGGTTCCTGGTATTCGATGGTTAGTTGCTACCAAAAGTGTTCAGAGGAAGAACAGCCGCTGAACTGACGACAGGGCAACCGGTGCCCAAGGCTCTGCGTGGATTCCACAGACACTGTGACACAAACTGCTGAAAACCCTAATGCTGCCTATAATAGAGAGGTGTCAGGACACAGTGCATCACAACTTACTGCATACGAGTTTGCGTAGCAGGAAACCAATTAGAGTGCCCATGCTTGACCTCTGTCCACCACTGAAAACACCTTCTAATGGGCACGTGAGCATCAGAACTGGACCACGGAGCGATGCAAGAAGGTGACCTGGTCTGACAAATCATGTTTTCTTTTTACATCATGCGGACAAGCCTGGGCATGTGCGTTATTTACCTGGGGAAGAGATGGCAGCAGGATGCATTATGGGAAGGAGACCAGCTGGCAGAGGCAGAGTGAAGCTCTGGGCAATGTTCTGCTGGGAAACCCTGGGTCCTGCATTCATGTGGATGTGACTTTGACACGTACCTAAACATTGTTGCAGACCACTTACACCCCTTTATAGAAACACTGTTTCCTGTTAGCGGTGGCCTCTTTCGGCAGGATGATGCACCCTGCTACATGATACAAATTGGGGTTTAAGGACAAAGAGTTTAAGGTGATAACTTGGCCTCCAAACTCTCTGACCTTAATGTAATCATGCATCGGCGTTATAAATAAGTCTTAGTCATCAAACCCCCAACACATAACTTACACAATGTTCTTGTTAAAGTTTTGGTGGCTGATACCAGAGGTGCCATGTCCAGACCTCGACAGGTCAGAGCAGCTTTGGCAGAATGAGGGAGTCCAGCACAATGTTATGTTAGGTGATCTTAATGTCGTGGCTGATTGGTGTGTAGATACGACATATTTTAACCCTTATTTTGTCGTTCCCTTAGATTTCGTGGCCGTGGCTGTGAGGATTTTTGTCAATGAGACTGTGGAGCTGGCAACGCGGGAGTTCAAGTTCTACAACTGTGCCGCCACAGTCAGGAAATCTGAAAACACACCGTAAGTTAGGCTCTTAATCTATCAGTTCTGCTCTGTCACTCACTGAAAATACACAGTGACACCGAACACAGCATCAACTGACAACCTTGATGTGAATGTATCACCATGCATGAACAGATGAGAGATCAAGGCTCTGTTTGTAAATTGTGATGCATGGTAGTTTGGAATGCACTTCTTGCATTTTCTCTCCTCCTTTTATTATCAAGCCGCGGAAATTGCTTCAGTTTCCTTTTCATTAATCAAAAAATGAAAGTCGATCTCGCCGTTTTTTTCCCCTCATTTTTTTTGCCTTCATTTCTTTCACACAGAGGAATGTGTGATGAACGAGCTTTGCTTATGTGAAGTTGCAGAGATCCATTTCATTGTCAGCAACATAGATTTTTGCACCGGACGCTCTCTGATGAGTTTGCATGTTTTAGATTTTGTGTGTGTGTGTGTGTTTGTGCTCCAGCCTAATTATGTATGTGAAAGCGTTTTCTTTTCTTTGCTCTTCATGTGTCCATATTTCCGTGTTTTCCAGGTGCATGTCATGCGTTGCCAGTCCGTGGGGATGCCAGTGGAACACACGTGACCACACCTGCAGCGATACAGACGACAACATAGTGGGCCCCAACATCATCAAACAGCGGCAGGTTAGTCATCTCAAGGGGCAGTTCAAGGACTCTTATCCATCATGAGGTGTGTGAGATAAATGCAGCTGTAAGTGCAGCAGAAGTTTCAAAAGACACATCTAATCGCCACATGTGATGCAGCGCCTGAGCGATCCAAATTCCCCTCGAAAATTAATAAAAACACAAATCCCGCTATCAGCTGCTACCATCTTGCATGACAAATGTTGTAGGGTGGAGGATATCAATTTACAAGTCAGCAGATGTTTTAGTGATACACTTATCAGTCGCCACAGATGAGGGTGTCCGTTAAGTGGTTGGCGTATTTAAAATGTAAATGATTAAAAGTGGGGGTATGTGGTTATTTTTGGTGCTTTTTTTTTTTTTCCAGGGAGCAAAGTGTCCTCAGTTCGAGAATCCAGATCCTGTGCTGATCCCTGTGGGCTACAAGACTCGAATCAGCTTTGAAGGGATAAATTTGAACCTCTACCAGGTAAAATAGCACAGACACTGAATTTAAAGCATTTCTGGAAAACCTTTTTTTCTTGAGTAGGATACTGGGACCACGGTGATGACAGTTTTGACTTCATGAATTTTTTTGTGCCATCTCAAAAAATAAAATGCTTCCATGTTAACAAAAAGACACACAAATACCAAAAAACTATTTATTACATTAAAAAAAAATGCATCAAAAATGCGACATGGGAGAATTATTAGCATATCTTGCAAACCGTGAGACATAAATGGGCTTTTAGACAAACAACAATCAGTTTTATTTGTTTATTTAAAAGGATCCCCATGGGTTGACACCAAGACATCAGCTAGTCTTCCTGGGGTCCAGACAATAAAATATCAAAAACAAGCATTACAGTCTCAAGTAAAAATAGAACAAAAAANTTTAGCTTTGGGGCAGTGTTGATCCAGAATATATTCAAGTTAATAATTGTTAACGTAGTTTTATTGAACAAATTGCACACAAAAACCAAACAGAATGTTAATTTTAACGAGACTTAACTATGAAAAATAAAATTCCCCCTGCTGCCTCTAAAATATTTACCTACACGCTCAACAGAAACATTTTCTTTTTTTCTCGCCGTTCTCTCCTTTATTAGCTGTCGTGCTACCAATCTGAGGTTCAATGTGGCTTCATCTGATTGGTGTGAATGTTTATTTAGTTGACACCAAGACGTCAGCTGGTCTTCTTGGGGTCCAGACAATAAAATATCACAAACAAGCAAACAATGAAGTCTCAAGTAAAAGTAGAACACCACAACAACAACAACACAGAACAAAAATAATCAAAATAATATTAGAAATGCATAGAAAAATACTTTAAAAAAAATAATGCATAGAAGATAATACATAGAAATATATAAAGAATAATATAATATAGAATAATACATAAAAAATAATACATAGAAATATATAAAGAATAATACATAGAGTAATATAATATAGAATAATACATAAAAGATAATACAGTCAGTAGTAGCAGGTAAGTTACAGAAGGTGTTCAGTATGAAGTCATCATCTACCTGGTTGTGATCATATAACACAACATGACAACAAAATTATACACAGTGTGCACCTGTATTTTAGCATTTCACTCTATACGCACATGTTAAAACAGCAGGAATCGAAAGTAACAGGATGCGCTGCCTTCCTTTAATCACTAAATTTAGTCCTTTTCAGACATGTGATCTATTGCTTCATTGATCTGTTAAAGCATTCGGGCATTTTAAGTTTACGTTCCTGGCGTCATAATTCAGACATACTGACAACACTGGCACATCGAGCGCACACAGAATATGTCACACACACATGGATGGACAGGACACCAGTGTATGATGTATGATACATAATAACGCACGAAGACACAAAAGACAAAATCCAAACTAATATCAAGCTTATCAAACTGTCCAAATATCCAACAGTCTAGTTTATTGATGATTTCCTAAACAACCGAAACTTCTGTCTCCGTGTGATGTTAATCTAACTACTGCATTACAAACTGTGAAATAAAAATATGCTGGCGGCCGTGATGGAGCTCAGGACTCCACCTAAGGATGGCCACTACGTAACAAATGACTTAACTAGAGCTTATTAACTGTGACTCTGTGTGTGTGAAATCTGATTTGCCGTTAGATCCTAATCAATCCCATCTCCACGTCAGGGACAATTTATAACTATAAGTAATTAATCAAGTTACCGCTGTTCCAACGTACTCGACTCTCTCACTTTGGAGGCGCGCTTATGGATCCTGCGACCGTCGACGTGTCGCAGGTGTTTATTAACCTCAGTGGAAAGATTCCTGCAGTTGGAAGCAACAAACCGCACTCCGGCTCCTGTTAACATTTTGTCAAGACCTGGATTATATTTATTATTAGGCGAGTCTCATTAATCCGATACATTCTCTGTGTTCAGCACAGTAAAGTTTTATTTTTATGGGTTTTTCAGTTTGTGATGGATGTGAACTTGTAGGGCAAAGAGAATGAGAGCAGTGCTTTATGATTTTGGCGCAGAAACTGTGTCTTTTGTGCTCTCTGAGATGGTTTTGAACCTTTTACTCTTTAAAGTAAAAAACGATATTCCTGCTGAAATGTGGGGAGAGAAAAAAAAAACAAAATTGTTTCACACAACTCAAGGTACCACTCCTGTCTGTTAATGCAACTATACAATTCAGACTTGCTCCGTGTTAAAAGTAATATGTAAATGTTACTGGGTCCAACCTAGTGAGACTGCTGGCACAATGGGTGCTCATTCAGACGTGAAGCCGAGACATTCAGTTGCCGTCAGATTAATGGAAGGAAGTGCATGTCTGAAAGCAGCTTTAATAACAATCAGTTGTTGTACAAAATGGTTATAGATAACTCCTCATTAAGACCTTCTCCGTGTAGTGGAGTCTACTTGTATCACAATTTAAATTTCTATCAAAGTCACCACCTCCATCTGAGAAAATATCCTACAACAGATGCATTCACACCATTTCGAGTTATTTTCGTTCTAAAACAGGCAACCTTTCTGGCCTGCTTGCTTTTATCAGTATATTTAAACTTGTGTGGGTATAAGAGAAGATAAACAACCGTGAATAATGTACAGCTAAAGCACTGCCTGATGCTGAAGGTTCTGGCCTACACAGTGACCTATGATTTTACCAAAATGCAAACTTCTTGAACAGAAAGTGTCAGTATGTTCATTTCTTTCTAAGAACCAAGAGGAGCATCACTAAAAAGTAGCTCAAAACTGGCATCTGGGTAAATAAATACACCACACGTCTTGCATTTGTTTGTCCTGTCTCGCAGGGTCATCCCTTCACCATCGGCACTGAGCTGATGAGGAATGCGGAGGAAGAGGTCATTTTCGAGGAGGGGCCGTTCTACACTTTCAGCGGCTTCAATGTGAGCATGAGCTTTTTGCTTGTTGCTTGACACTCATCGTGATGCAGCACTTTTGTTCCTTTACTGAGCCTCTGGCCAATCCGCCCTGCACTCAACACAGGTCCTTGAACTGTGGCTGATTGGTGGACCTGGTTATCATAGTGCAATTTAGAGCAACACTGAGTGAAATACATTGCAGAGTACCACTTGAGTTGTATTTTTCTATGGCAAAGTAGGCTCGGTGCTGACTTTCTATCTTTGTACAGCTGTCTTTATGTTCCAGATTTATAAATGAAATCAACCTTTAGCTGCTTTTCACAGTCCCTTTGATATTCTCTAGCTCCCTCTAATGGACAGACGCCCCTCACTGGAGTTATTTTAGCTCCATCTCTACATTGTGAATTCTGTGATTGGGAAGCTCAAACAGTGCCTAGCCCCCAGCTATGTTCTTTTTCCAACATTGATTTCTTCAGCTGAAAATCTGCCAGGCTGGGTATAATTTTTTCTCTTTCTTTTTCTTTTTTTCCCTTGGCATGGGGGAGCAGCAGCCCACACTGTTTGCAGAGAAGAGCTTAAGTGCCATTAATCACTGGATTCTGTATTAATAATTCATTTTCTTCCAATTTCTTAGTTTTCCTACGATAAGTCACCAGAGACCAATGTTCTTTTCTACGTGAAGGACAAGGAGTCTGGCAAGAAGATGGACAGCACGCTGAACGGTGTGTTCTCACATTTTAATGTGGAGATCTTATTTATAATGCCCCTTGTGTTCGCCGCAAGTCCCACTGTGGGCCTTCCATTAGATCTGGGGAAGCTACCTTTAATCTGCGATTGAAAATTAATCAGAAAATTAATTGGTAATGACTGTATAATCTAACATGTTTTGTCAGGATATGGAGGTTTCGAGGGAATTAAGAAGAAATAATTGCGAGACCTGTCCTGCATTTTACATTACTATGTCAAATGTGAATTTTAATATAACATACATTTTACATTGGGAGAGATTTTGATGAGTGCACACACATCTGATTTTGCTATGTGGATGTACAACTGGGTTTGTTCTATTCAAATACAAGAAAATGTGATGCAAGATGTAATGTTTGCTTTTCTTTCTAACTGCCTTCCATCCAGTCACCCTGTACAACTGCTCCATGGGCAGGGAGGACTGTAGTCTCTGCAAGAACGCCGACCCAAAGTACAGGTGTGTGTGGTGCAGCAGGCAGAAGGCGTGCGTGTACGAGAAGCTCTGCAATCAACAAGGCTCTGAGGATCCTCACAACGCCGAGTGCCCCAACCCCGAGATCACCGACGTGAGTATTTGCAACGTTGCCGTCAATTTATGTTTACCTTTCGGAATGGAAACGCTACCTGCTTTAAAGACGTGCGATTAGCAGAGCAAAGACATTGATACTGGTGATTGGATTATTGATCGGAGCAGTTTATTGGCCGTGCATTTTCTCTCTCCTTTTTCTCGCTGTTGTTGACAGAAAGAGTCGGGTGTCTGTTTCTCCTTGAGAGGGTGTTGCACTGTTCTTCAGCACACCTAGATTGGATCAATTCTTTCTTTGCTCACTTAATTGTTGGTGCCTGTTTGTCTTTGACAGAAATCCATCAATAGTTGTGTTTATGTCATCCAGGCAAAGGTTATCACCAGACATGGTGCAGCCTGAATGATACGTTATCGGATAAAGATACCCCAGATAAATCGCCATAAGTATGTGTTGATATTTTTATGGCAGAATTTATTGCTGAAGCTTTACGTACACTAGCAGCTGGAGAGATGATGGTGGTCTGTGCTTTGGTTGGTCCAGACTGAAATATCTCAGCAACTATCTGTGGATTGCCCTGCATATTTCTACAAATATCCAGGATCTTCAGAGGATTGATGATCCTTTGACTTTTCTTCAGGCACTATTAGGAAGTTGCTATTTTTGTTTTCTTACAACATACCTTGTATCGACTTGATTATGTCTAGACTTGGTTGGACCCACATTTTCATCATCAGATTAAAATTTCAGTTCAAAACATTACATTCCCACCAACCTAAACTGTTCTGCATGTTTAATATGCATTTAATTAGCACATTTTAGTGGGTTACAAAGCCACGCTTCGATGATGCACATGCTGCTATAGACACACTTGCTAAACTTCAGCATGTTAGCGTTTAGCTCAAAGCACCGTCCTGCATGGTTGGACACTGAGGCTGTAGAAGACTCCTGCTTCAAAGTTAATCATGTTTTGTTGCATGTGTTTTTATATTTGTTTTTGTGTTAATTATGCATTTATATAATATTATTCACAGTAAAATACTGTCCACAAAAAACATGTCTTCATGTTCTGTATTTACATGAAACATCAGCATTTACATTGTTGTAAGATTTCCTATTATTGTGAACTGTTTGTTGTGTCTGACTCACATACATAGGGTGTAGTATACATGCATACATAAATGCAGATGTGATTCATACAGTATTGATGTAATTCTCCGCCATGGCCTTGAATAATAAACACTTTAAGTCTGCTGAATAGTTAAACAGACTATGTAAATCTCTTGTATGTTCTTATTGCTCAACTAATCCGTTTAAATCCATTTTAAATCCCTTCTTCCTATAAACACCCACTCCACCCCCTGACACACTATATCTCCCCATCCAGATCATCCCTCGGTTTGGCCCCCTGCGGGGAGGCATCGCCATCACCATCCGTGGCTCCAACCTCGGCATCCACAAGGAAGACATTAAAGAAATCACAGTGGTTGAGGAGCCCTGTATCCATCAGGAGGAAAAGTACTCCGTCTCCACAAGGTAATATTTACAGACATGCAAATGTGGAGTCTGAGCAGCAGCATGCACGCTGTCTGCTTTTCAAACTGTGTGCGGGCCTGTTTTATCCAAAGTCTTTTTTTGTAGACTTTGGAGATCCTTGTCTAAGCTAGAAGTGCTCTCCCTTTGCTCAAGGTAACCTGGCTGTATATTTTAATTAGCTCATTATACCACTGTATTGATCTGAGAGTCTCCAGACGCAGGTTGATTTAGAGACAGAATCACTCTCTCAAAGTGGGGATGCCAGTGGTGGAAGAATTATTCAAATAGTTTTTAGAGTAAACAACTGTGTAAAAGAAGACTACATTATCAGTAGAAGTCCTGCATTCAAATTGCTACTCATATTAACTTCTGTCACTGGTCAGCATGGGCATAGTCTGAGTAGTTTATGTACAGTTGAAAAGTTTGGAATGGAAATCAGTCTTTAATGAAGCTCTTACAGCTCATTTGAAAAGAGGCCTTGACTCGATTTTGCTTTTCACGGTGGTTTAATCCTTAACTGTGTATTGTGTTTTTTGAGCTTATCATTTGTTTTTATATGTAGAATCTTAATTTGAAAAGCAACTAAAGCTGTCAGATAAATGCAGTGGATTAAAAACTATTATACCCCCCTGTGAAATACAGTCGTGTATACAGTAGCATAGAAGAAAATGGAAACACTTCAGTGAAGTACTTGAAAATTGTGCTTCTAATTGGTTTTCAACACTGTTATACGCTACTGAATGTCACTCAGTCACTTATACGTGGCAGGGGATGGATAGGACTTAATGCCTTCAGCGCAGCTTGAATTCTTTAAGATATGTATTCATCAAAGCGCTGCAAGTATCCCACACTGGTTTGATAGTGTCTCACACGCTTCCCACAGATTTCTTGGTGGGCTGTTCGTGCTGCAGACGCTCTTTCCACCTCCTCCCGAAGGGGCTTTAATGGGCTGAGCACTGTAAAGGGGAAAAAAAAAAAAAGAATAAACTTGAAGTCTCGCGAATACACTTCAGTCACAGCTGTTTTTAAAAAGTGCTCACTTCATACAAATGGTCTATAAAAGAGGAAACAGCCACATCGTTGCCCTACAGCCGCTGGCCAGAACTGATGACACCTGGCAGCATGGAGCCACATTTATGACAAACTCTTGCCCCACCATCTGCATGATGAGGCATAACCCAGGATTTACGAGAGCAGATGGAAGTGTTTCACTCTTAAATCATCCAGTTTTGGTGCTAACATGCTTCCTGCGCTCTGCTAGCTGTTGGTTGTCATGCACGCTTGTACTGCAAGATGTACCTTTAAGTTTTGATAGGATTCGCATTGCGACATCTCATTCTATCCCGGTTGAACTGATAATTGTTGTATTGTGTGTTGGAAGCTTGCTGTGAATTAAACTGGTTATGTTATGCTGACCTCTTTCATCAGCATTTTTCCCTGAGGACAGTTGCAGACTTGGACGTGTTTGGTTTATCACATGATTCTCATTAAACTCCAGACACTGAAATGTGGAAAAAGTCCCTGAGGGACAGAAGCATCCAATCTGGCCTTAGAAATCCTACTACATTCATCACTGCTTAATCAACAACACTACTCCAACACTGGCTTAACCCGTCTAGCATATCTGCCCCTAATAAAACAGGAACAAAAGTCATTTGAGTTCAGTTTTTCCACTGTACTAATTTGCTGTTTAGGTTTTGACATGCCATTTCAATTTCCACAATTGCTTTCACAAACTTTGTGAAGTTGAACATCTGGGACAGTCTGGAATATACCTCTACCTACAGAGAAGACTGGTTGAATAGTGTTGCCATTGATATCTTAAGGGTTAGAGAAGCAGGCTTGTGATTGGAAGGTTGTCCGATTGACCTCTGAACTGTCGGGATCAATCTATGTGGAGAAAATAAAAAAGCAGAGTGTAGTTCTCTCCCATTACCAACACTGAGGAGCTGTTAGGCAGCAACCTTCACCTCGGGTACTCCAGCACAGCTGCTAAGTGGCAAGCAGGTCAGAGTGTTGTTGTATTGACCAGCTGAGCTCTTAGCAAAACATCCCTGGATAAAGAAAGTGTTAAAAACTGTGTTGATGACAGACCAAAACTCAATCAGCAATTTAATTGTTAAACTAGTTTTCCATGTGAAAAATGACATATTCTCTGGATCCAGTTTTGTGAGTTTTGCGGCTGGACCGGGCAAAATATTCTAACAGGATTTTTTTCATAATATCCCTCTTTTTCTGTTTTCCTTGTCAGTGTGGTGTGTGAGATTGGCCCTGTTGAAATTACTAAGGACCACTGGGGCCATGTTGAAGTGGAGGTGAATGGAGGGAAAAGAGGAACCTCCTCCATGTACTTCACCTACAGGGTAAACACACACACACACACACACACACACACACACACACACGTGCAAGCTGTCCTTAGGGGTACAAATTTCGACACCGAAAATGGACACATTCAAAAGCTTACAGCTCATTTTGTTATTTTATGGACTCTGTTGTGTTTTCCATTTCCTAATGCAGAGAAGCTCTTATCAGAACACAACAAGGGCATGTAATTTAAGTGGACTGTCCATATTCAGCATCCTAATGCATCTGCAAATTAAGCATCTAGATGCGTATTACAATGGTAATGCACTGTACGATAAGCCAGAATTTGTATGCGTTCCTCTTTAACCAGATTCTGTGCAGTAGTTCCTTTTTTCTCTCTAATGCTTTAACAGGCTACAGCGTAGCTATTTAACTGGCTTTTCATATCTCTGGCTCCGCTAAAGCTTCCCCACAGGGGAGTGCTCCGCCTAACTGTTTGCTCAGCAAATTGAGGCAGATGTGGTGCTTGTTGGAGTTTGTGTGTCTGAATGTGTCTGATAGAGTGGGAGGGTGTGGATCCAGGAATGTGAGGGGAAATGTGCATGTTTATGACATTACTGTGGCTATGTTTGTTGTTCGTGTGTCTGCCTGAGGATGGGAGCTTGTGTGTGGGCTTGTGAGTCTGTCGGCTGGGGGAATATGAGCATGTGTTCAGGTTGTATATGGTGACCCCCTTCTCTTCACTAGGACCCAATTCCGGAAGCGGTGAAGCCTGCCAGAGGTCTTAAAGCAGGGGGAACCCTCATTACAATATCTGGCCAATTTCTAGACACTGGCAGTAAGGATGATGTCCAGGTTACCATCGGAGGGGTGGACTGCGCTGTGTAAGGATTCCTTTTCTCCAACAATTGTCATTCATGCCAAACACCAATTCTGTTTCAATTCAGCCTCTTCAGTTGATAGAGCTACTTGTTATTCAAACATTGTATTCTATGCAAATTCTACAGTATACACACTTTGAAGCCCATAAATTGATTTTTTTTTAACACTCCTGAAGCAAAAATGGAATTGACCTTAACTTTGGTGTCATAAGCAGGAGGGATTTTTCTCTTACAATTTGCCTTTACTGTTGTGACCGCAAGTGTTCTGTCAAACCCAGTCCACAGTGACATTTTAGGCAGAGGTAACAGAAAAATAACGAGCAAGGGAAGCAGTAAAGCCAGGATTTAACAAGCTGTCAGCCTGCTGCCATGTTGACTTCCCCTGCACGGTGACCTTGTGCGACCCCCACTCCTTCAGCCAAGCAAGTGCTGAGCTATGTCCTTGTCTTGGCAGGGAGCACTTCGGAAAAGAGATCACCTGCAGGACAGGAGAATACCGAGCGGATAAGGTGCCCTCTGACCCTCTCACCGTCACAATGAAGTATGGAAAGAGTACCACAAAAACCATCCCAAGTGCCTTCCAGTTCTTAGAAAACCCCACTGTGCTGGATCACCACCCCAAAGGAAGCTTTGTCTGGTCAGTTTAACATGGCGCCTCATGTCAGTGTGTTTCTTGTATTTATTGTTTGCGATTGATGCGTACAGTATTTTTGCTAACTTCATTACACCCAGAAGTGTACAGCACTGGATGAAAGCTCAGGGTGTGCGTATGTTACTCTCATGTTTTTATCCATGCTGACTATTCATCGCGTCACTTCTGTTGTAGAGATTTGTCAAGTTGGCCAAGGGAACACTTTCTTTCATATGGCTGCAAAGACAAGTGTTTGAACAAGGGTTTGTCATGTTAGCAGCAGACTGAAATATTGACTGGATGGCTTGCCATGAAAATGTGTACAGGCAGTCTCCAAACTGGGAAACCCTCCTCATTTTGCTCATCCCCTGACTTTTGCTCTATCCACCAGGAGGTTATATTTTTGGTTTTTAGTAATGTGTCTTGACAACATTTGGAAAGGCTGCCATTGAACACGTATTTATGCCCAGAGGATGAATCCCGTAAGACTTTGGTGATTCCCCTGAGCTTCCATGTAGCACCAACAGGTGTAAGTTGTCACTTATCCTGTGAAATATCTCTGTGACTGCACCAAATTTTCATAGCTTTCATGGTTTCCAGCTCATGAGGCCTGCTGACTTGATCCTCTGACTTTTTCTGTAGCATAACACACACGTAACCATGTGAGCAAAATGTTTTTATTAATGCTTCATTACATTACAAATTTAAAACTTAGATTTTTTTTCCATGCAGCTCCACCATCAGGTTAATATTTCACTTGCATGCTCTTGAACTGATGACCCTCTGGCTCAAGTGTTGACGTCACCTGATGCTCACATAGTGTCACAATGATGTCAGCACTTGGCTCAAAGCACTGCTGTACATACAACCTAGCAGAGCCTCTAGTGTGGCTTTGAACTATCTTTTTTTTTTTTTTGGAAGGCTGCAGCAGGTGAATTGCTCTCCACGCCCTGACTGATATTGTTATTGCCAGAGTCCATGTTTCCCAACTCTCTGAAACAGAGGCGTTGTAGAAAATGTCATACTGATGATTGCCGTATTTGACAAATATAAGAGACCCAGACTGACTTTCCCACTTTTTTTGAGTACCTCACCCTTACTTTAGAATTTGAAGTAGAGAAGCACAAAAAGAAAAAAGCTGCTAAGTTGGCATTGATAGCAAGGTCAAATAGAATAGTACTGGCACCTGCCTTGTTCTCTGCCTGCAGATTTCTATCTCAAACCTGAGTAAAGGTTGCTAATGTCAAGATCATTTTTGGTTTTTGAAAGTATGACTTGTCCTACTTTTGCTAAGTGCTGGTTTGCTAAGTGTGTCGGTGTGTTTGTGTGCAGAATAGTTTCCACACTTGCTTCTGATTGGCTGGAATTGGCTGAACAACTGCTACTTTTTTGATGTTGTAGCAAACTGCTTGATAATTGCTGAAAATGAATGCATTAGACAGTTACCTTGCTCTTTTTTTTGGTTGCACTATGACGCATGTGATTATGTACACAGTCTGGAACAACAGACTAATTTGTTTTCATCTCCAGTGAAAATTACCCCAGGTGCAATTTAAGAACTGTCTTCCTGCAACTCTCCTGTCGAGCTTGTCTCCTCTGCTTCGTGTGGATGGAAACGCATATGCTCAGTATATATGTGTGTTTTTTCTGTGTGTGGGTGTGTTTTAGTGGCGGGAGGAACATTGTGGTGACCGGCTCCGGTTTTGACCTAATCCAGACTGCTGTCATAAAAGTCCAGGGAGGAAACTTGACAGCTTCCGAGGTTTGCACTCGTTTTATTTACCAGCATCTTTTTTTGTTCTTCTTTGATCTCCTCACTCAACTGTTGTTTTCCGATCAATCTTTGTCTCCATCTGATCCCCCCCCAACATCTCATGAGCCCACGACGACAGCGGTGATTCATTCAAACTCTGCGAATCATTGCAACAGTTCAAGCAGCCACACACACACACATCTCCACGCCTCCTTGCCTGCACTGATCAGTGAGATTCCATAAACCAGTAATAGCTCATCTCACTCCTTAGCCCATAAATCCTTAAAACCTGTAGGATTGCAGATAGCAGCGCCATTGTTTCACTCTCACCATAATGTAACTGTGTTCCCCGTCCAGCCTAATCAGGTAGGATTGACTCTGCCAGCGAAGTTAAAGGAGTCGCACACAGCTTGCCGACCCCCCCTTCCACCACCACCACCTGCCCCTCCAGTGCACTGGGCAGTGTTAAGCAGTAGCAATTTTGTTCATTTCATTTAAAGGCCTAAATTTAATACCAGCATTAAGGTTGCAGAAGATTATGTGACTGTGCCACTCCTCGCCACTTCACTCCCGGCCAAGTTCCTGGGCCCTGCTACCCAGGGACAGGAGAGATTTGAAAATACTTCTGGCTGCCACAAACTAGCAGTGGATGTAAAGTGTTATCTCAAAGGCCGGTTGGTCAACTTCATAAGCTTCTCTTGGTTTAAGTCCATCCACTGAACCAGACCCAAATACGTGGACTCATTACGGCTGCTGGCGGGCGTTACAAACATGTTGATTTGTAGGTCAGGTTAGAGGCTCAAAGAGATTTTTTTTTTGCTCTAAAGACCCTCATGGACTTTTGGAGTTGGGTGCACCAGCTGTTTGTAGTTAGAACATAGATGGTTGGTTTCACCACAACAAACTACTTCTTTAGGGGAATAGTTGTTGCTAAATGTTTACACATAGTGGGTATAACTGTGTCATAGCTACCTAATGAAAATAGCTTGTTACTGTATGACTCATTTCAGTGTGTTAGATGTAACATGATCCAAATGTCTGACTTTTCACAAATGCTGTTAAATTTTTGAAACAATTCGTATTTCACAGCGAAATTAAATTGGCATTAACTATACAAATACCACTCTGAAAGGCACATATTTCTCCACATATGCATATCTAAATTTAACAAAATCATAGCTGCATTTGCAAAGGAATGCCACAGACTTGATTGCTTTAAATTCAACCGCTCTACAGGTGTTTCCAAGCAACCGATGTGCATATTTTTGAAGTATTCAGGCATTAATGTTGCTTCTACCTCCTGACTCGTCCCATTGCACCAGTGTGAGGTTTGGATTTTTGTAAAAACATGAGTGATGATCTCCTCGCTTTCTAATGTAGTCTCATGCTAATGTCAAATCCAATCACAAAACACTTCACCCACGCTGTAGTCTTGTGTCCAACATTACTGTGTGATCAGGTCCAACTGGCAAATGGCATATGAACTTGCTAAATTAAGATGCTGAATAAAACTTAAAAAGGTGGACATATGAATAGTTGCATCTTGTACACCGGCTATTCGTTCACCCGTGACCCTGCTGCACATTTGCATCTGAAGGTTAATCAAAGCCGCCTGCCAGAAAGCTATGAATAATACCGTTATTGCCATGAACAGCATTTCCAGCAACATTAACGGACATGTTTAGTTTGACAAGTTTAATACCACCAGTTGCCAGATGCCCAGAAGAGACTCAGAGAAGTTAGTGCTCCCAGCCAGGAAACGTTCCTGTGCAAACCCCCCTGCAAAGCCTGAAATTTTTATTTTGTGCTGCAAATTAAACAAACATGTTAAAGAATGAGCCTACATGGATCAGTTGCCAGGCTTCTATCTTTTTCCATTCTTTTTGTGAAGCTAACGGCTATAGTTTCATAATCTGCTCTGCCAAAAAGAAGGCCTCTGCCATTTCTCAAAATGCTGAACTACAGCGTTCCTGCACAACGTATGCTCGGAATAGGCAGACCGCACAGATAACTGCCGTAGGTTCGCAGTTTGAAGCAATTTAAAAGCTGAATGACGGAGAACATTAAACTCACACCAACTAGCCTGAAAATTGATGGTCCGCTTGAATTTTTTTTGAAGCGTTACTCAATATAGCCTGCGTCTTTTTGCCTCGTCCTGCGTGTGAGACTGCAGGTTTTAGCCGTCACGCACACATTGTCAAGCCTTTATCTAACAGTCAGTGACAGAAATAATCACCATCGGTCCGGTTAATCAACAACAAGTAAAGAAAGCCAGAGGAGGAGTACTCGGCGCGAGTTGTGATTCATCAGAAGCTGCTTTTCTACGATGGCTGATTGGGATTTTAATAGAATGATTGAAAAGACACACACATCATTTTACCTTCCCCATTGTATCAAGCCAGGCTTTTTCCCCTCCACCACTCCACCCCCGAATAACACTTCCTTCCCACAACAAAAACGTTAATTCATGACCAGTTTAAAAAAAAAAAAAAAAAAAACCCTGAACGCCCACTGCTTGCTTTTTAAAAAAATCTCTAATCCTCCCCCATTTTTTTTAATGTTGAATATTGATGTTATATTTTCCTTCATGTCTTGTTTTGCCTATTTTCGCTTATGTCCCTTTCACCGTCCCCCATGCTACTACTCAGAACGCCCACGGGAAGAACGACACGGTGATCCAGTTTTGGTCCCCGACGGTAAACGGCTCCCTGAACCAGCACTTTAAGACGTACATCCACCTGGACAACTGGGTGAAGGAACTGAAGCCGTTCGACTACCACCCCGACCCCAGCTTCAACGAGCTCACCAAGAAGGTCATCACCGAGGCCAGCATCATCATCGTCACTGTGAGTACAGAGCACGCAGGCACGTCGGAGAATGACGGTGCTTTGTGTGTGCGAGAACAAATGGTGTTAATTATGCGACATAAGAATAAAAATAAACAGATGCTGAGATGCAGTTTGCTGCACACATTTTCACTCTTAAGCTGCTAGTGGAGCTTCATTGCATATTAAACTTATGCAAATAATTTGTCATTTTAGCCTGGTGGTGTGTTTGTTTTGGAAGTCAAACAATGCATATGAGAAGCTGCAATTAGTAAACATTAAGTTATTTTAATGCATATCGACAGATTGAAAAAACAGATATTAGTCTGTTGCTCTAAAACAGTGGTTGTGTAATAAATTTGCAGAGTCCCAGGGCGATTAACTGAATAGGAAATAGGATATAATTATATTTATGAAAACACAAAAAGTTGCTCTTCAGTGGAATACTTGATAATAAACTTATTTAGGATTTGAGAAAACTGTTCACACACACTACCTAAATCCTTTTATAGATTTTTCCAAGCAAGGAAATCTTTGTTTTAAGCTTAAATAGTTCTGAAACCCAAATAATTGTTTAAAGTTATGTAAAATTAACATTTGTTTTAATGACGACTAAACCGGTTTGAGAAGAAGTTTGCCATGTTTTGCTCCTGGTATCTGACTTAGAAATATTTGAATAAAACTCTCCCACTCCTTTCTAATTATTTATCTGTATTTGTTTACCCGTATATTAAGTTATTTGTGTATTTCTCAAGTCCTGCAACTTTACAGAGTCCAAGGTGACTCCTTCTCTTTGCTTATTTTGTTTGGCAGATGCACCAAAGTCAAACGCTTATGTACAGTTTACTGTGACATAAGATAGAGAAATGCAGCAAACAATAACCACTTAGCAGGTTGAACTAGAAAAAGCTTTTTGATTGAAGAACGGCTTAAATGAATAAATTTTCTGTCTTATCGATTCAGCTGTAGATTTTTCTGAGAGCTTATTACTGCTTTATGTCAGTTTTAAGGTTCCACAGTGTTCCACTCTTAAAGTTTCTGCGGGTAAACACACTCGAGGTAAATTAGTGGGGAAAGGCATCTGCGAAAAAAAGAGTCTGCGGCCTTTTCAATCACTCAGCCGCAGGTTTACTTAAGCTGATTTCACCTTTCTTACTTTGCAGCCTGCATTAGAATAATTGAAAGCATGTCTGTAGATACAGAAGAATGCTGTAGAATCTTAAAGTGTATGGTGCAATGCCAGGATTGTAGGATTGACTGGAGCTGTGCCTAAAGTGTCTTAAGTGAGAAATTACTTGAGAAATGTGCTCACAATAACTATAATCTTAATCGTTTTAATTACTTTTGGCTCATATTGAAACAGTAAAAAGCTGTTATACACTTCCCAGCCATTACTAATGAAAATGCTTACAATACCGTTTTCATTGCTCATCATATGATGCATCTAATTAACGGTAATTAAATTCTCTCCCATGTAGTTCAGTCACGACGCGCATTAATGTCACTCTTCCTCCCTGCAGGGTCGGGGATTCTCCAGAGCGATGACGGCCAAAGAGGCTCAAGCGTTTGTGGGCGACGTTCAGTGTCTGGTCAACACGCTTCAGGATGACAAGCTGTTCCTGGACCCACCTTCCTCTACGCCCAGCGCTCGCTCCAGACGGCACCGCAGAGACACCCGACCGGAGCTACTGGATCTGATGGTCAGACCACACAAAGACAAGCTGATGACACACAGTGGTGGAGGGCATATTCAAATCATTTATGGCATGTTAATACAGCAGTGCTAAAATAGTGCAGTTAAAATGGCATGCACGTCTCATGACAGTGAATTTTAAATACTCAAAGCATGTACTGCAATCAAAGCCCATGTGAAGGATGCGATATAATGTTGTAGCAGTAGCATGCAGCTCATTTTTAACTCTTTTATAAAGAAGTGCAACTCATGATTATTTTCAAAATGGAAAATTCACTGGATTAAATTTTTGATTAATAGATTGTTTGGTTTATTAAACATGAAAAAGAGTAGTTAGAAATGCCCATAATAATTACCCAGGGGACAAAGTGACACCTTCATAATGATGGCTGTGTTCAAGTGATAGTCTAAAACTAAAAAAATAATTTAAATGAAAAAGAAATCTGCAAACTATCACTTGTGTCGAACTGTGAAAAATTTAACAATTAGCATCTTCTCAGCTCTACTTTAATACACTGTTGTATAAAAAGGCACCATAATCATGAGCCATTTATAGGTTTTCTCTGCAAAAATCTTAATTAGTACAGTGACCAGTAACTAACACTATTACATGAATGTAATGGAGTGAAAAGTACACTGTTTTCCTTGCTAGCAAAATAGAAGTGGCATGAAAAGCAAACAATCAAAGCACAAGTGCCTCAGATGTGCAGGTACAGTTCTGGAGAAAGTCTTCTAAGTTACAGTCCAGACAAACACGCAGACTTGCAGATTGCGAGCATGCATGCATCATGAATCTTTACTGTTCTTCTTCAGGCTTATCCTCTGTACATTTTGAGGCCCCATTTTTTTTCACTGGTTGAACAGTTTTCATGTAGCTACAGGCTCTTATAATTACATTTAATTATAGCTGAGCCACAATTGTGATGAATGCTGTAACTTCCCCTGCGGGTCATTCTTATAAGTGAGGTATTCTTTCATTTCTCTGACTGTGTGCTGCATAAAGAAGCAACACCACCATACATACTGCAGACATCTCATACAATAGCTCAAGACGCCGACGTAGAAATATTAGGCGTCTCACTCGCTGCGTTAATGCATTCATACAGACCAAGGCCTACCAACTCGCACGTAGATGCAGCGCTTGAAAAATACTAAAGGCTCTTGCAGCTGCTTTAGCAGAACTGAAGCCAATTATTCAGATTCTGTCCACATTTCCTCTGCAGCACTGTCCGATCTTTACCGGTGACACCTACCTGAGTTAAATCTCCTGCACAGATAATAAGGTTTCCACTCTGTGTTTTATCCACAGATCAAGTTTGGAAAAGGGGAGTGGTTGGTCGGCTCTGTGCAGTACGAGAAGAAGAACGATTTGTCGCTCTACATCATCATCCCTGCTGTCATTTTGCCCATGCTGCTCATCATCATTATCTCCGTCTACTGCTACAGGTGAATTAAGTTGTTTTAGGTTGACTTCATGCACTATTATAGATAAGTAATCAAATTCTTCTGATAGCAGCTTTTAGAGTAAAGGAGCTGTAAAAAGCAGTTGACTCCAGCTAGTCCAGAGATTTTATTTTTTATTAGATTTTTATGCAATTCCATCCATCCACCCATTATCTATACATCGCTTAATCCTCACAAGGGTGACAGTGGGGCTGGAGCCTATCTCAGCTGACTTAGGGCGAAGGCAGGGGACACCCTGGAGACAGACAACCAAGCACACTCACATTCACACCTACGGACAATTTAGAATCACCAATTAACCTCAACATGTTTTTGGACTGTGGGAGGAAGCTTGAGAACCCGGAGAGAACCCACGCTGCACGGGGAGAACATGCAAAGTCCACACAGAAAGATCCCAGGTGTCCTCCACTGAGCCACCTTGCAGCCCCTTATGCATTTCTAACAGGATATTTCTTGTACTGAACATTAATTTTATGGTATTATTTTCATTGTATGTCTGTAATATTACATCATATTTAACCTTGCTTTTATTGCATTATTTTGCTGGCGAGAGGTTTTCCAAAAGAAAAGCAGGAAAGCTTTGTTTTGTTATTGTTTTTTTTGCAAGAAATGCATTAGTCAAACTTTTTTTGCGGAAAATTCTTAAAACACCTACATCAAAAAGAGCACACTCGCCATGACAGTAATGGCGCTAATAAGATATTGTTGTGAAGCTCTGAGCACACACCACTCCCACCAAAGCATGTACTCCTTAAGCTAAATAACACCTTTGGTTCTGTCAAAATAAGTCAAAGTTAGAACGTGTCTGTTGTGCCGTGTTTTTGTAACACCCGTGTTGTGTTTGTGCCACGTGTTCAGGAGAAAGAGTCAACAGGCGGAGAGGGAGTACGAGAAGGTGAAGCATCAGCTCGAGAACCTGGAGGAGAGCGTACGAGACCGCTGCAAGAAGGAATTCACAGGTACCGTCAGCTCAACCTTAAAATATAGCTAATGTCATTCAAAAAAGAAAAAAATCCATGTTTTTAAGAAGTAATGAAGTGCTTCACAGCCCTGATTACATTTTTTGATGTATTATGCTGCAGTGAATTAAATAAATTCTCCCGCTTAACATCATGTCATCATCATTATCAGGAGCAGTTTTGCAGTAACGGTAATAGAAAACAATCTTTCACTGTTGAAATGATTTCTCTGGCAAGGCTTTCCATCCTCTGCCTCATACAGCATCTTGATTGAGACAGACGAGCACTGCGGAAATGAAAAAAAGTTGCACATTTAGAAGAAACAAGGTAGTATTTTTTATGTTATTTTTTTGTCTCTGTCTTGCAGACTTGATGATTGAGATGGAGGACCACACTAATGACCTGAGTGAGGGACGAATCCCCTTCCTGGACTACAAGACCTACACGGACCGGGTCTTCTTCCTGCCCTCTAAGGACGGTGCCAATGATGTGATGATCACAGGGAAGCTAGACATCCCAGAGGCTCGAAGGGCCACAGTGACTCAGGCACTCAACCAGTTCTCCAACCTCCTGAACTCCAAGACGTTCCTCATTAATGTAATTATACCGCTCATGCATCATTAAGTGGTCAGCTATCTGCAGAGGTTACATTAGTGCTGTGAAAGTGTACAACAGTGGAGTTTACACTGAAACTGACTGACGCAGGACACACTGCCACCATAGTTTAAGGTGTGTCAGTGGTCCAGATTGACATTTCCTCCCTACTATTGAATAGATTGCCATTAAGTATTTATAAAGATGTTTATGATTCTTGGATGATGAATGACTTTGATGATCCCCTGACTTCTCCTTTAACACCACTAGCAGGTTTACAAGTGTGCATTTGAGTGAGACATCAACAACTGTTTGCGATAGAATTTGGCACAGACGTCTGTTTGCCCTGCAGGAGAACTTGCGAAAATTTTCGTAATCCCCTGACTTTTCTTGTAGCCCCATTAAACATCATCACGTTAACAGTGCAATTGTGAGCATGTTGGCACGCTGACATGAACATTTAGCTCAAAGCGCTGTGGTGCCAGTGCAGCCTCGCAGCCATCAACGTGCAAGGTAGACTCTCCTGAAACATCACTGATATCTAAATTTAGACATATAATCCCCTCTGGTAGTTTATATGATGTATAGCATACAGTACACCATAAATACAGTAGACTTTACATCTAATTTTTGTTCTGTATTCTACCAAATTGCTCCCAGCTCATCAGATTTGCAGCACAGCTTAAACCCTGTTGTCCCTGAGCATAAGTGGTAACATCTCCCTGATTTAAACCTACTCAGAAATAATAAATGCTGCTGTGGAGTTTTGTCTAAATGAACTAAATTGTCCTTGTGTATTGGAATGGAAGGAGTACATCGTGGAAAGCAACAATATGTTTTGTTTTTCTTTGTGTTTTTGGACGACGGTGGAATTTTATGGCACAGAGCCAATAATCTGTAGCTGTGCTACACTGGCAATCCTCTTGAAATGCAGCAGCATAAATTTATAGTTGGTACTGGGGGGTTTTCAGACTATTTTCTGATTAATAAATGGTAATAACAGAGTAGTTACCCCTGGTAAGCGTGTAATTGAGTAATACTGTGTTGGTATATATTCCACTAACCAGACACAATATTAAAGTCACATGCTTGTTTATGTGTAGGTCCTCTTTGTGCTGCCTAAACAATTCTGACCTCTCAAAGTATGAACTTGGCAAGACCTTGTAAGGAGGCCTATGGTATCCAGGTCGTTATTGAAAATGAGAACCAGTTCTCAATTAACTTACCTGGTAAAATAAAGGTTAAATATATAAAATAAAAAAATCAGGCACCAAGACTTTAACAGCAGATTCTATTAAGTCCTCAGAGTTGCAAGTTTGGACCTCCACGAATAGGACATCCTAGAAATAATTGATTGGACTGATGTTTTGGAAACTTATATGTCAAGTTCAGACCTTGAGTCTTTATCATGTTTCCCACCATATCTGAACAATGTTTAGCAGAGCGCATTATCTTGCTGAAAGAGGCAACTGCTATGAGCGAATACCATTGCCATGATGTTGTGTACATTGTCTGCAACAATGTAATGTAGGTTGTACAGGTCAAAGTAACATCCACATGAATGCTAGGAGCCAAGGTTTCCCAGCAGAACATCCTACTTCTGGCAGTGCATTCTGCTTCCCCAGATAGACCACACACATGCACCCAGTGAATGTAAAAGAAAACATGAGTCAGGCCACGTTCTTTCACTGCCCCATTATTTACCTCTGACACTCATGTCCACTGTTGGTGCTTTCAGTGGTGAACAGAAGTCGGCATTGACCCTGTTATTGGCCCACTGTTATACACTAACATACACAACAAGCTGCGATGCACTGCGATGCCTTTCTATCATAGCAGCTTTATCAAGAATTTGTACCACAATATGTTTTCTGTTGGATCAAGCCTTAGCTGCCTATCCCCTGACTGTCCTTCCTTGGACCGTTTTTGGTAGCAACTTACCACGAGATACAAGGAACACGCTTCCAGACCTGCTGTTTTAAAGATGCTGTGACCCGATGGTCCAGCCATCACAATTTCACCCTTGTCAAAATCACTCAGACCCTTCTGCTGCCCATATTTCCAGTTTCCAACACATCAACTTCAAGAACTGACTGTTACTTGCTCCCTGATCTGTCCCACGCCTTGATATGTGCCACTACAACACGATAATCAGTATTATTCAGTGGTTTTAATGTTGTGGCTGATCTGTAGATCTCCCACAACACTGATGATCAAAGTCAGCCTTTAGCACAGTTAACACACTGTAAGGTTCTATTTTAAATTCAGTTCTAATCCTTTCAATTGAGAACCGTGTCATGTTGTACTTTGTGGAGGACAGTATTCGAAGTGAGAAACAGAAGAACACAGCAGAGGGATACGTGTGAAGATTCCTATTAATCCAATTTTGTTGGCACAGAAACAGCCTCTGAGGTGTGAACTGCATATGTGGGGTGATTCCCTTTCCACTAATTGGTATCATTTCTAAGCCATACTATTTTACATGGCAGCACAAAAATTTACATTAACAATTATAATTTTCATTGGCATTAGCCTTTTTTTAATCTAAGAGCATATTATGTTGGATTTGCTTCTGTGTGCGAGCTTCATGAAGTGATTAATTTAACTCATCATTTGCCTGTTTCTGTGTCTGTGTGTGTGTGTGTTTGTGTGTGTGTGTTTCTGTGTTTGTAGTTTATCCGAACCCTGGAGCGCAGTCATGACTTCAATGCCAGAGCCAAGGTGTACTTTGCCTCCCTGCTGACGGTGGCTCTTCACGGGAAACTAGAGTACTACACCGACATCATGAGAACGCTGTTGCTGGAGCTGATGGGGGAATATGTCCACAGCAAGAATCCCAAACTGATGCTGCGCAGGTGAGTAAGGACCAAGTCATTGCTGCTTCTTGGCAGATACTGCTGCAGTCACAATGCCAGCACTGTTTGCTGTCTAAAAAGCACCAAACCTCTGAAGATATAATGTCATCTGTATGATTTTGATGTTGTTTTTTATGTTAGGGACTGGTTTGGACCAGATTAAAATTTCAAAACTATAGTTGTCCTCAAATTTATTCATACCCTTCCATTTCAGAAAATGAAAGAAAAAATCACAGTAGTCACTCAAATAACTAGAAACTGAAAAAAAGTAATAACAAATAAACGTGTGCTAAATTATAATTTAGTGAAATAAGACATTGCTTTTGAATTGTGGTTGAAAAGAATAATTTAAAAGAGAGAGAGAGAGAAAGCTCTTTGCTGATGAGCAGTGGCCAAAATCAAAATACCTGTCAACAGGTGCAGAAGTCTGATTGAGAGTTACAGAAAACACTTGATTGCAGTGATTGGCTCAAAGGGTTGTTCAACAAAATATTAGTTTATGGGTCCCATCATGCTTGTTTTTGTTTGTTTGTTTTGTTTTTTTTATATATTTCTGTTGAGCCACAATTCAAAAGCAATGTCATGATTTTCATAAAATTTTTATTTATTATTACTTTTGTCAATTTAAACTTATTTCACTGACAGCTGTTTTTTTTCCTTCTTTAATGGGAGGATGTGAATACATTTGAGGATGACTGTGTGTGTTGTCCTTTTATTTACCAGCAGGTCAGTTTCACTTCAGTAAAATATCTCAGTGCTGACAAGAGTAATTAACATTTTATTCAGGCTTTTCTGATCCCCAGACTTCTCTTGTGCCACATGAAAGGTGACATTTTTTTTTGGTTTTCAGTAATAAAATGGCTGCCATGAAATTTGGCACCAACATAGTAGCTTTAAAAATCCATATTCGGTCTAAATTTGAATGGTAAACATTGCCCCTTCTAAAACTCAGAATGTCCGTGTTTCCTTTGTGAGCATTTCAGCATGGAAAAGCATTTAGCTCAGAGCGCCACTGCCTCACAACAGCCTCGCAGAGCCTCTGTTCTGGCTGATTTGTTTAGCAACTTCTGCTCTGAGATTGTGAAATGTCCTCCTTCTGCAGCTCTATAATCAGAGTCGCCCCATATCTAAACTCTGGCACTGCTTTTATCAACCAGTTGAGGCAGACTGGGATTCGGTTCAAGATGCAGCGGACTGTTTCATTCTGTTGCCATGTTTTCTGTTGAATTTCGCACTGACTACAGTAGTCCACTATCAGGAGCCAGACTGCTGCTCCATCTATTCCAGTCCTCCTCCTTCTGTTCCTCCTTCTGTTTTTTTTTTTTTCTTTCCTTCTTGGAGTCCGAGCACAATGTGCTGGATGGTTCTACTTCATCTTATTCATCTTCTTATCCTGAAGCTTGTGACCAATAGGACATAGGTTTATAATGTTGACTCTCTACAAGTTGCTCTGTGCAAAATCCTGCATCGAGATGATTAGTCGGTGGAGATTTCTCATTAAATTAAAGTCATCAGCCAAACTATGGATCGCCTTCAGTACTTGAGACAACATCTAACAATAATTCTATTTTAATAATTGCCCTTTTCAAGTGAAGAAAACTGTTATGTATCATTTCAAAATGATTTGAAATTAATATGTGGATAGAATCTAGCTAATTATTGTGAAATTAACTGCTGTTTTGAGGAACTTGCCAAATAGTGTAGATGTCTTTCTCTGATTTTACCCAATGTTAATTGCTCAGTGTTTTTCTCCCGTGGCAATATTTCATCATTTCTTTGTTGAATTAGAGTCTATAAGCATTCAACTGACTAATGTGATTGAAGTAAATAGCCTTAAGAGGAGAAACTTTAATTTTAGCGTTATTTGATCTTGACCATTTATTCACAATAATGATCGTGTCAAGGTCAAGCGATCTGCTGACTGTCGGCTCCCCTCCCTCAGCAGGACCCACTTGTTTGACAGTACAGTCAGTCATCGCTGCCGAGAGGGGGGGGTTATGTGATCTGAACTGTCTGCTGTGCCTAGGCATGCTGTGACTGGCTGTTTTGCAAGTACACATCTTAATTATCCCCCAATGGAGAAGCTCATTATGCTGATTAGGCCATTGTGCCAACACAGGCCCCTTATATACAAGACATTTAATTAGGCATGTTACGAGCTAACAACGAGCGCCACTGGTGGATATCTGACATTATGATGGGCTATCTGTCAAGTGACCACCGATGTGAGTTTTTTGAATTAAAATATCTTGACACTGACAAGCTGTCCAGAATATTCCCTTGCTGATATTTTGTAAAACAGCGTCTTGAGAGAGCAGTTTTTCAAAATATTCAAGAGGATACAGCGGGAATAATTCATAGTGAGAGTTACCTCTCATTCCACTTTGACCTTTAACTTTAATTTTCTCTGGGGTAAATTTGTTGTGCAGGCAGTAAAACACAGTACACAGACTTATAAATACTAATTATAACATGAAACGTATCCCAAACTATGTAAAGAAAAAATACTCAAACTCCACAACGGAGCTCACATAAAACAGCCAGTGACAGCATTAAATCTGTTGCTAAAGAAGTGAGTTTTTTTCAGGAGTTTCTTAGCATAATAATTTACCAATATGGAATTAATAAGTGTCACATTTTTCTCTCTGGATGTCCAAATCACTACTTATTGACATATAGCATTAATAGACAAAATAATAATAATAATTTTTCATTTATTTGTTTGAAAAACTGTTATTGTAATATGTTGTTTTTTGTGTTTTTTTAGGTCAGAGACAGTTGTGGAAAGGATGCTGTGCAACTGGATGTCCATCTGCCTTTACCAGTTTTTGAAGGTAACTGGCTGTGGGTCAATTGAAATGTATTAAAGCTAATGTTATAACTAGAGCTGAAATGACTGATCAAATAATCACTGAGCCAATCAACAGAAAATTGAGTTAAATTGATTATTTTGATGCTCTAGTAATTTGTCAAGCAAAATGCAACACCAGTTAATGGTTCTAGCTTCAAAATGAGACATTTCGGTTATTTGTCTTTGTCATATATTTTAGTATATTTCATAATTTGGAGCTTTGGTTGGATAAAACTAAATGTGTGCTAACAACACACAAAGCTCTACGGCACCGTGATGAACATATTGCATTGTTTTCTGATGTTTCATAGAACAAACTCTCGTCTAAGGCAGTGTTTACATCCATAATTTATTGTAAAATGTAATTCAACAGCGAATGCCCATAATCACCAATACCAAAATTGTGTGCAATAACGTGCTTCAGCAATAAATAATGGACTTTATTTATGGATTTCTTTATTTCTTTCAATTGCGCTCATCTTGACAATGTGAATTTATTTGTCCTCTAAGCTGCTAATCACAACTGTTAGCTTCCTGACAACAGCTGAAGCAATTTCTAAATGGCTTTGTGCGTCTGTGTGTGTGTGTGTGTGTGTGTGTGTGTGTGTGTGGTATGTGTGTAACAGGACTCTGCAGGCGAGCCCTTGTACAAACTGTTCCGAGCCATCAAGCACCAGATCGAGAAAGGGCCTGTAGACGCCAGAGTGAAGAAAGCCAAGTACACCCTCAACGACACAGGCCTGTTGGGCGACGACGTAGAGTACTCGGTCCTGGTGAGATGGACACACACGCACGCACGCACAAACAGACACACACACACACAAAAACACTCATACATAGAAATTCGGCAAGTCAGTGTCAGAAAACACTACACACACTGCTTTCAGATTGCATGGTGTTTTGTGCCTGGTGAGCAACACAAACACGCACACGTACACACTGTGCAGTTGCCATGGCAACTACAGGGGGAAAAATAAATAATAAAAAAAAAAAAAAACCCTGAGGCGACTGCCCGCTTTTGTGTGACATCCATTTTCAGTGTCAATGTTTCCAGCTCCAAAACGACACAGGCAACACATTCCAATCTAGCGGCGAAACGTGTGGCTTAAGGTTGAAGCACTACAAGTCGGTACAAGTATCGAGTACAAGCCACCTCCTCAACCTCTCCTCGACCTTGCAACCTGCACCTGCTCTGTATCCATTTGGGCAGCTTTCAGGAGTCGAGGAAAAAGCCTGTGTTTCTCGTTTTGGTATCGTGTTTCAATAATGGAAGCTAATGTGAACACAGCTGTTTTGTGTTAAAGTCAGCACAAATAAAAAGACCCATGGGTAATGGCGTTGTCGAGGACAATTATCAAATTAGCCTGAATTACATGTCTCCTGCTGTGATAGATCGCCTTCTGTGATTGAATTACACAGGGGAGAAAAAAAAAAAAACGCAACAAGCTAGATTTCACATCCAGATGCAGTGTTTCCCATTGGCTTTAAATCACAGCGTGCTCTTCCCATTCACTTCAAACGCTGATGGGCTGGCAAGGTTGCCGCTTTCGATCTGATTTTCCTGCCCCCCACCCCGTTTAGATCTGTTGAGTGGTTGGTTATCGCTAACGGAGCTGACTGAGTGTGGGTGGTGAGGTGGGTCAGAGTTTGCTCCCACTGAACCTTGGTCATTAGCTGGCCAAGGTGACAAGAGTCCTGTCAGGTGTCACCGCGCTGCGCGTGTGTGTGCGCGTATGTGCTTACAGAAGGCCAGTTGCCATGACGACAACATCCCAATAGAGCTTGGTATGTGCGAGTGGGTGGCTGGGTGCTCTGGCCATGTTTGAATATTTCTGCATATTTGTCATTTGTGAGCAGAGGTGCGCGTGTCTTGCTCATGCTATCCCACGCTGGCCTAATGTGTATTTGTGTGTGTGTGTGTGTGTGTGTGTCTGTGTGTGTTTGCCAGACCTTGCAAGTGCTGGTTCAAGGCGAGGGTCCAGACGTCACGCCCGTCAAGGTGCTGAACTGTGACACCATCTCCCAGGTGAAAGAGAAGATTATTGAGCAAGTGTACAGGAACCTGCCATACTCCCAGAGGCCCAAGGTCGACAGTGTCACTCTGGGTGAGTAAATTAAGGGCACTGAAGAGAAAGATGAGTCAAAGCAGAAACCTTTAATAATGATGAATAATGCAGCAGTTTACTGGGAGTAATGAGGATGTCGACAGTTATTTTAGTCCTGAGTGAAATTAATTTATCATAAAACCAGAAATGCATTTATCTAAGAAAGACGGAGATGGTTTATTGCATTTTAACTTCCCTCAATATTTCACATTTCCGCATAATATCTCTGTTTCTGTTTGTGGAATAAAAACGCTTTAGGTTGAGAGGTTATTCATTGTCAGCAACATAAATCCTTCATCGCTAAACAAAGTTTTGCTCTCGACTGTAGTACGAAACATCGGGGACTGACTTGAAAGGCTTAAGCTCCGTAGACATTTTCCGACATCAAAGCCGTTTTTTATTTCCACGCACGCAGTAGATCTCATTCCTTTATACATTTTAGATAGGCAGAGATCCGTCTTCTTTCATGCTGAATCGGAAAGATAACCCCCTTATGTTCGGTGGTACTTGTAAATGAATCACACAGTATGTCACAGACGGCGTCGGGCTCAGGTCTGCAGTGATGCAGATGATGTTGGAGTGCAAATCGCAGTTCGGAATTAAATTTCAATTATTGCGAAAATACAGACGTGTCACTTCTTCACCCAAAATCAACTCAAGTGTGTGATTAAATCCCAGGGGAGAGCCAGACAGATAGCAGGATGGATAGTTGGATTATTACAGCTATCCATCCCGGTAACCTCAGGGCAACAGTGACCCATGATGAAATGTGAAGTATTTGAAAACATCTTAAAAGAAAAAAAATGAAATACAGTGACACTTTGCCAAACCTTGTAGCTCACCTCTACTGAACTGAGCTTTGATGGACTTTCTCTCCCTGCCTTCACCACAGAGTGGCGCCCCGGCTCAACGGGGCAGATTCTGTCAGATCTGGATCTGACGTCACAGAAAGAAGGCAGATGGAAACGCATCAACACTCTGGCACACTACAATGTGAGTACTGACAAAAAATTTGATGTCATGATGGAACATGTTTTTTTTTTTTTTTAAAGGAAGACTGAATACAGCAAGGGATTTGAGGAGGGAGGAGGGAGGTAAATAGATGTACGTGGGCACGTAGATGTGAATGGGGTCGAATATTTTCACGGTGTTTCAGTCAGAGGCTGATCTGTACATCACAGAGATGTGTATATGTCTGCTACAGGTTTGCAGAATATATTAGCACACACCATATGCGTATATATTTGTTTGTAGTTTGTTTACCTTTAAGTTTGACACTATTCATTGATACCTCATGAAAGTGTGTAACAACATTTTTTGTGGATGTCAGTGTACGACATACACAAAAAAATAATATTGGAAGTTAGTAAAACGGTCCTTTAACACCTTTTATAGACCTGTTTCGTTGAAGTCTGTTAAGTAGCGTCAAGTTTTGTCTCTCTATGGTTTATTTTGTTTGCAAGCCACCTGTTTTGATAACTGGCAAACTATGTAGAAGCTGAAATAATGAAATAATGCAACAGTTTTGTGCCAAAAGTGCTGCTTGCTATTAATATCATAAGGTGTTGTGCTGTGAGGGAGTACATGCATCCTTTGTTATTAACAAAAACATGTTTATGCAAGGATAAATCTCCTTGTACCACAAATGAAATATAAAAGAAAGTCAAAGGTAGTGGCATTCCATCACAGTTTGCATTCATCACCTAATTTTTTATTTATTTTTTTGTTCATGTCTCACCTTGCGCTCCCAAGTGCCTGGTCTTGGTTTGCTCTTATCGGCTCTCAGTGGCAACAGAAGGCCACTAAATCTCCTTGGCACTATATTGATCCTCAGAAAATAAAGGTCACTCACGAATATCCCCTACTTGTCCTGCTTTTCAGCCACTTAAATCCTCCTGTTTCAAAGGTGCTCAGCTTCCTTTCTTCCTACCTGCTGATGTCTCACAGTTGTTCTCAGACGACGGCCTTGCTGCCATAGATTCATTGGCTCTGTCAGAGTAGTGCTAATCACAGTATTTGTGGGGTCAATAATGGGTTGACGCCAAAGAAAATGGCCTGTAAATACCCCAATAAAGACCCACTGTTCATGTCCACTCAGTCGCATTGATTAGGAATTAGTTCTGGGGCACTAAAAGAGACTGCTGACCGTGGTCAGAGTACCTATTAAATTCAAAGGTGTGCAAAGTAACTTTGCCTCGTTGTGCGTTGTCTGTCTAACAAAAGCCTTATTTGCATTCCAGGTACGAGATAACGCCACATTAGTTTTGTCCAGAGTTCTACACACTCAACAGAACTACGACCAGAACCAGGAAAACCACGAAGAGCGTACGTCTCTCTGAATCCACACACACTGTACACATAAACACAGATCAGATGGAGAATATCATGCCTTCCTTTGTTTGGCTTCTCCAGGGTTTTCGTCAATATCCCTACTCTCATTTGACATGCTAATACATGTTGTTTTATGTACAGCACAGTTGGAGATTATGCTGAAATGTTACGCACTTTTATCTTGAGCCTTTTTTATGTACATTTCAGCATAGTTGATTGTTTAGCATTTTCTTTTTTTGGATATTCTCTTTGCACTCAGATTCACTTGATAAACACCCTCCCATTTTTCATCATCTGAATATGTTCTGTAAGAGGGTGCATGAATAAATAAGAAGCCGAATTGTTCGAGGAAAGTTTAATGTGTTGTTTTTCCCCCATTAGGAAATGCTCTGCTGGAAGATGATAAAGTGTTTCACTTGGTGAGGCCAGCAGACGAACTGGATGAGATTAAATCTAAAAGAGGAAGCATAAAGGACAAGTCAATGACCAAAGCCATTACAGAGATCTATCTAACACGACTCCTCTCAGTCAAGGTACAGTACAGATCATTTATGCAATGTGTTAAGTAGTCGTCTAATGCAGTGACTACATAGTAATTTGTGCTTTTCCAACAAGTTGAAGCCAACTTTGGTGGCGTCTGGGTTGGCAAAGGGCAGAACATACAAAAATACTCTTAAAAACCTCAATCTCTACACTCCCATTGCGTGCAAATAGATTTGTCTCTTGGCTTTGATATTTCTGGCTGTGCTCTTTGTCTCTGCCCTGTCTCACATTATTTGTGGCCCCTTTCAGGGAACACTGCAGCAGTTTGTGGATGACTTCTTCCGCAGCGTGCTGTGCTCTGGGGCAGTGGTCCCACCAGCTGTCAAATATTTCTTTGACTTCCTGGATGAGCAAGCGCTGAAACACAACAATGTGGATGAGGAAACCATCCATATCTGGAAGACTAATAGGTAATAATATGGCACGACTGCATACTCTAATAGTCATTTTTAAAGTATGCGTCCTTTCTCTCTCCCTCTCACTCTCTCTCTCTCGCTCACTCACTATGATGCAGGAAGAAAATGTCCTGTATGACTGTCTGTAGCTACATCTGACAAATTGTTAATACCATGTGCATTTATTAGCACATTAGCAGTATTTTACTGTTGTAATTGGTTGAGTGGGAACTAGTTTTAACCGCTTTGAATACAGTTAATTTAGCACAGTGGCTCCTGTACTGATGTCACGACCCCTAGACGGGGTCAATAGATAAGTCCAAGGGGTCATGGAATAATTAACGGGGTTAAAAGGATTCAACAACACTAATTTGTATTGATTTTTTGAACTGTTCTTTACTCTGTGCTGTTTCAAAAGGAAATATTAAGCACAGTTATCAATTAAATCTTTCCTGCTTAGAGATGTGCATCATTAGACAATGAGCACAACTAAAATTGTTGACATTTGTTACATTGCAGCCATTTTTACGTTTGCGTAGTGCCGTTTTTTTTTTCTTTTCTTTTCTTTCAGCTTCTTGTAATGGAGAAACTGTAAATGTACTCTCAGCTTTTCAATTAAGACTCTTTATTGTTATTTAAACCTGCTGTTAACAGGATTTTAACAATAGTTACGAAATGCTGCTTCATATTACGTTTTCTTAGAGAAATTACAAAGATAAAGTACTATACTAGTCATGAGGACCTCTTATCTGAGTGCTTGTGGAAATACTTTGCATGGCATTACAGTTTTGTTTTGTTTTGTTTTGTTTTGACATTCCCAAGAAAATGTGCGATCTACATGAAATAGTCCAAACACTCGTTGACATGTCTGACATCTTTTCACCCTCAGTGGGATAAAAGAACAGCACTTTTTTCCCCCCAGCATAATTCCCTCTATGTCCATGAATTGGTGGACATATGATGCATCTTCGACATGTAATTACCTAGAAATTCAATATTATCCCAGTTTTGGCTCTTTGGCCCATAAATTGTTATTTAAATTGAATCATTTCAGCAGTTTAGTGGTCAGATGATTCGATTAGACTTAATGCATTCCATTTCGTAAATGCGTTTTATCTGAAAAGTGCCTCATAGCTATAACTGCCAATTAATAGTCCTGGAGTAGAAAGTATAATGTTTGCCTCTGAAATGTAGCAGCAGAAGTATAAAGTAGCATAAAATGGAACCACTCAAATGAAGCACAAGTGCCTCATATTTGTACGACTGGCACACGGCAATCTGAGTCTGACCAACATCTCAAATCCCGTCGACTGAGATACAGTAACCCCTCCAAGAAATAAAACTTACTTATCCCAGAAAGAGCTGAATACAAATGCACAATTTCAGCTTACTTAGTTTGCATTTGCAATCCCCTTGCTCCCATGTGACATTTAAGTGCATAAATTAGTGTCACGTCGGCTAAGGCTCAAGCATACAAGACGACGTGTTGCATGTAGATGCCAGTGATTGACGCGAGGCTGGCAAGAGAGCACCCACACAAGGACAGGAGATGAGCGATTTAATTACTTACTACACTCCACACCACATTCTGCATCCACCCGTTCTGTTTATCAAATCAACTGAGGGCTACGTATTAAATATGAATGTGTGTATGAGGCATAACAACAAACAAACATGGTAATTATGTCCCAGGATAATTTAATTCTGTGATTATAGCAACATTGCTATTTTTATGCTTCTATTGTATTCTCACTGCAGCCTTCCCCAGGAGATATCACCAAACCACTATGAGTTTTACACAATGTGTCTCGGATGACGGGACGTTCACACCGATCAGGGAGGAGAGTTTTTTTGGAAACTACTGTATTTTGGGTGTTCTTTTGAATCTCGCAAGCCGGTATGAGGTTGGAAAAGAAGCGCACAGAGCTCGCGTGTTGCCGCTCAGAAGGGAAATTAGCGAGTGTACTCGAGCATTGCTTAGCCTGCGCTTTAGGTTGTTAAGCAGAACAGAAATTTCAAAGGTCAAAGTTTTGCAGCTCTTTTAGCATTTCTAATCACTATTTGTTAGAGTAGACAAGCATCGCTGCCTGTTGCTTCGCACATCTCCCTTTTGTTTTTAAGAAAGAAGTCTTCAGAGGTGTTGTTTTTCTTCTCTCTTTTCATTTTCTTTGAACGCAGTAATTCTCACTGAGGTCAGGATCATGTGAAATAGTAATATAAACTGACAGTCAAGGGTATTGTTCTGAATAAACTGACACCTACAAGAAAAGCTTTTCTTCATCCCTGTTATTATCTTGTACTGCACTCAATTGCACCTCAGGCAAGTGCTCTCACACATGAAATGCCTCTCTGACTTAAATGAATTCATAGATGTAATGTGGTTGATGAGATTTTCCCCCCATTCTGCAGTAAAAAAATAATGATAACAACCGTGATGAAAGACTGATTTCTTGCTCTTTTTCTTCCCATGTGCAGCCTGCCTCTACGGTTCTGGGTGAACATCCTCAAGAATCCCCACTTCATCTTTGATGTCCATGTGTCTGAAGTGGTGGACGCCTCGCTCTCCGTCATCGCTCAGACCTTCATGGATGCCTGCACCAAGAGCGAGCACAAACTCAGCCGGGTTAGTGGAAGTGAATGAACGGAGGAGGAGGATATGGAGGGAGGAGGAGTGAGGTGAAAGAGCAAGAGGGAAAATGGGAGAAAAGATGAACAAGATGACAACAAAGTGGATTACATGAGACGTTAAATGGATTAAGAAGTAGAATGTCATAGGTCAGTTGCTGTGAAGTGCCGTCATTTTCAACGCTGTACATCCATTTTTGTGTCTCTAGGACTCTCCAAGTAACAAACTACTCTATGCAAAGGAGATCTCCACCTACAAAAAGATGGTGGATGAGTGAGTACTTTCCATCTGTTTTCACTTTGAGTTTAAAATGCCTCCAGACTGTGAAACACTTTTCATTAACAATTATTAACAATTACATCATGGAGCAATTACCACCTCTTGTCTCCTCTGTGTGTGTTTGTGTGTGTGTAGTTACTACAAGGGCATCAGGCAGATGGTGCCCGTCAGTGACCAGGATATGAACACTCATTTGGCAGAGGTGTCGCGGGTGAGAAACACATCTGTCACTTTCCTTACCATTTAGCGCACATCGCTATCAAAGTTACAATCCCGAAGATTTCAGACCTGGCCGGTTTAATGGTCGCAGCAAGTGTGGTTTAACAGAGTAAATTCACATTTTAATTTTAGCTGCAGATTGTGCCCATCATTAGCGGTGAATGTAGCATTTTTAAGCTTGTTGATTTCTTGCCAAAATGCAAATTGGGAGTTGTAGTTAACTTTTGGAGTAAGTATTTTGTTCTAATGAGTTAACCGGGAAAGTTTCATGCAGCAGGTACAAACCATAGAATTGACACGGAGTCACTTTTGAGTGTGTGTGTAATTATTTGGAATATGCTGCACATAACATTTTCTGTTTAAAAAATAAATCTGTCTTTTACTCACTGTGCCAGACTAGTTGAGCTACTTTGTCTGAAATGTACCAGAAGTATCTGTTTAAAGTGCAGCCAAAGAAACTCATCTTGCCATAATAAAAAAAATAAAAATAAAAACTAAGCCAGTAATTGGTCTCCTAGCAATATAGAACCAAAGCAGAGTTTGATTCTATGAAAGTCTTTAGAATTATAACTTTAATGTCTGGTGGTAAATAATACAATAGCACAGCTTTTAACAGAGATCAGATTGTTTTTCTTTCTGTTGCTTCTCCATTGCCTCTGCAAACTGAGTTACCTTTCACACACGGAAAGAAAAAGCACTTCATTCAGCTGTGTGCAGTTTTATGGTTTCGTTACATTTCCTCTTTAACCTTTAAATTGTCATTTATGTTCTCCAGTCTCACACAGACAAACTGAACACACAAGTGGCTCTCCATCAGCTTTACCAGTACGCCAGCAAATACTATGATGGGGTAAGAGGTCCTTCTCTTTCCTATCGCACCCAAAGGAGGCTATTCCAGTGAATGCACTACTGCCCACTATATTATTGCTTTTCCTTTTTTCTCTCTTCACTCTTGATATGCCAGAAGAGTGATTGTATGAAATTTTAATTGAAAGCATTTCTGTGGGATGTGAATTGGAAAATTGCTCTGGGAATTGATTTTTAAACGTCCATTGTGCATTGCCACTTGAGGTCACGAAAAGGGGATAAACAAAACCTAATGAACAAGTTGGATAAACAAATGGGGCTGTCAGTCTCCCCTAAGTGGGGCTCACAAACAATAACAGCTTAAATGACGTGACTGTTGATGTCAAATAACACAATCCTCTCCTCCCACTCTCCACCCTTTTTCTTCCCCTTTGTCCTGCGCCTCTTCTCTGTCTGTCCCCCTTCTCCTTGTTTCTCTGCTCTTCCGATATTGCTCCTCTGCCTTCCCGCCCAACTGATCCCTCCTCTGGCCCCTCTTTGCCTATTATTTCCAACTTCTCTGCCATTCTCCTCCATGTCTGTCCTCCTCACCTTCCACCCCCCTTTCAGATCATCGCATCCCTGGACGAGGACCCAGCTGCCCAGAGTAAACAGCTGACCCTGCGGCTCCAGCAGATAGCAGCCGCCCTGGAAAACAAAGTGACTGATCTCTAACCCACTGAGTGGAGGAGGGGAGGGAAAGAGGGAGGGAGGGAGGGATATCGCCAGTGACTACAGGAGCTTACTTCTTCTTTTCAGAGAATAAAACATAAAAACAAGGAAATATGAGAAGAGACTCATGTGGGCGTCTATATTGAACAACTCGGCTAGGGGCAATTTTCTGTTCTGTGGAGTAACGGGGAATAATGAAATGCAGATAGAGAGCAAAAAGAGGGGAAGAAAATGATGGGTTACACTGTCATAGGTACGCCTTAAAGCTTACTTGCCAAACCTTAAAGGTCTGCGCGCTCACTCATGCTTCACTGAATATTACTCCCACAATGCAGTGCGGGAGAACTCTCTCTGAGAATTAAGCTCCTCTGTGGAACACTGGCATAGGAGATAATCAGATGTTCAATTTCTCTCTGTGTAGAAAAGGTTTTAAGAGTTGTATTATATATTTTTTTTATTGTGCAGTCTTTATGCGGAAAGCTTTATAAGGAAAAAAAATATCTTTTTAAATGGATCACCTGTGGTGCGGATAGTGTTTTTATTAGCCTGTGTGTGCGTCGACGTCTGCGTGAAGTGCAACATGTGAACAAGAGCGCGTGTTGCTGAACTTGAGTGTGTGTTCACGTGTGAATGTGTGGGAATGTGCATGCACACACAGGATGCCTACTGTCAGGCGTGAGGGCGAAGGGACGCCTGCTTTCTGTCATTTTAATCCCCCATACCCGGTAACACACTGGAGCCTGCGCTCTCACAGAGCTTTATGACAGAGACCAAAGGGTCCTCACAAGGACACTGGTTAATCTAGCAATGTACAGGCTCATATGAATGACAGGTCACGGGTAGTTTCAAAAAAGTTTGAGTTAAATATTTTGCTTTTGACTCAGATTTGCTTTGACCTGGATTGCCATTTGTGCTTGTGGAAATCGATAATAGCACAGTCTGTCTCCCTTTATTGTACAGTGCCATGAAACATTCCACTTCAACAAAAGCACAGAAGGACATTTCAGATGTTTTTTAAGACATTTCAGTTAATGACTCTTCAGATATTTCTTCTTTGCTATAAAACTTTTTCTTTTAAGTGTCAGCAAGAAGCAGCTTTATTCTGCCATGGAGCCATGTCACTCATATTAGCCCTGCAATAATGTCAGTATACCATGAGCCACAATCAACAGTTGCATTAGCTTACAAAATGTATTTGAATACAGTAGCAATTCAGCAATATGTTAAAAACTATCCAAATTGATTCATGCATTGTTTGCGTTTATGATTTCGAGTGCCATTGTTTTTTTAGTGTTACCCATGTAATGTTCCAAATATTCTTCAAGCGTTCTGCCTCTAAAGCTATGAAATAGCCTATTGCTGATGTTAATAATCTGCCAGAGATGCAGTTGGTAGTTCAATGGCATGTTCTGAACAAATTATAGTGGTTTTAGCCTTTTGTATGATGTTGGGGAGGTTGGGTTCAATCATGTACATAATTGTTATAGTAATTGGAATATTGATATGTCAATGTCAGAGCCGAGGCGTCGACGGCGTAGGAACGAGGGTTTGAGATTTCTTGGGCCATTAAACGCCATCCCTAAATTGTAGGTCTTGCTGTTGACAGATGATTTAATTGTACTCCCTGTATCTGATCATGGATGTGTGTAGTTGACAGAGCATAACGAGCTCCAGAGACCCCAGAATGTTAACGATTCCTGCCTTGGCTAGAGAGAGGTTTGCACAGACCTCGAGCCTGCCTGCCTGCTGTCTCAGCATGGCACCCTGGCATCCCGACCAACAGCACTTGGCACTGCCCACTCAGCGCAGTGCAGAGTGGCACTCTGTATAATGGAATCAGCAGGGGAGGCTTTTGATCTTAATTGCATGCCGACTGCAGACTCCATCCTTGTCTCCGCTGTTGTTTACTGCTGACTCCTTTCTCACTGACAGAGTTGATGCAAGAAGCTTCTTTCAGAGCCTTTCTTTAACCGAAAATGTGCCTTATTGAGTAGGATGATACATATATATTGTTTCTAAATTATTCTATTGGTAACCTAGGTGATTATGATGATGATAGTGCTATAGACACAGCAATGTACTTGGACTTGTGATCTTATGTGTGCTGTCTAAAATGCTAGATGCCCTGCTGCAGCCGTTTGCGTGCCAATAGGCTGAAGACATTTCAGTATGATTTCTTTTCTGGTTGCAGTTTTGATGTGTGCATTTCCTTTGGGTGTCTGTGGTGTGTGCTTAGTAGGACTTTGGTGGCTAAGGCAAAAAGCCAAAATGAATAAATGTAAAACAGTGGCCAATGTGATTTGGGTTTCCCTTGAAAATGTCTGGCATTCCTAAATTAGTCTGAAGTCAAAAGGGTATCCTTATGTAGACTGAATATAGCGCAAAACTGTTCCAATGGTGTTAATTTTTTGCCCTGTGTTTCTAAGCTATTCCACAGTGTGTACGATAAATGACTATCTATACTCGACAAATGATCTTTCTTACTGCTGTGCAGTTATTATTTTTATTTCTTGTTTCCTATACCATATAAATCTTTGTAAAACACATTGAAATACTGTATTCTAACTGTATAATCCTATGCATTGAGTCCTGGGACAAAAAAAAAAAAAACAAAAGAGAGAAAAAAAAACTGTTTGTGCAGTTGTCGAGACTTTTTTCCATTTTGAAACTTGTGAATGTGCTGTAATGATTAAAAACAAACTGGGACACTCCATTTTCAGTACAAGACCATCAATGGAAGCCAACGTTTTCCTCCCCATCCAAGGCAGCTCAGAAGATTCTCGATCTTGTACCTGATCTGGTTGTACTGGATGAACTTAATTTTACAAAAGTTGTGTGTGGACGGAGCAGTTTCCCACAGATTTCATCATACACTCCTCCGTGAATAAACTCAGAGACGTATACGCCCTTCATATCTGCTGTGTTTCTTTCACTTTTACAATATTGATCTGGTTCAATTGAACACTACCTCTCACGAATAATGCATGAGTGAAAATCACTGGGTAACACTTTTCACAGGTAGCCAAAATCTTTTTAAGGTGAGCTGAATATTTTCTGTAAGTCTTTGGTATTCATACAGCTCATTACATGACATTAGATTTACTACAGAGCTTATATACTTGCCAGAGTGATGGATGGATTTATAGAAATTAAAACCACGCATTTATTTTATCGAAAAGAGGGCCAAGTGCTTGAACCTGACAGCTTTTTTATTTCTTATCTCAAACATTCCGGCAAATTATGACCCTAAACGACTTAGTTGATAGCATCGGTCTTCATATGCAGCTTGGCCTATGATGGCTGATGCTTTTTTCCCCAAATGCCACATCAGGTTCCTGTCACAAGGCTCAGAATACAAACTAGAAGCCAAAGTCTGGCTCCATGAAACGAGTTGATAATAAAAATAGCCACACGCCATCTCTGTCATCAGCAGTGAAGGTTGAAAAATTGCGGCAAAAACATTAATTAAGTACTGACAGCTAAGAATGAAATTGGAAAAAAGAAAGATGAAAGGCAAAATTGCCTCATCTGCTTAAGCCCCAGCGCAGGGGTGGAAATATCAAAGACAGACCAGAGGCCTGCGTAGGCCATCTTCTAGCTGAGCCGATCATTGATGCAGCAACAGATAGAGAAACATCAAGGGCTGCTGCCAAATCAAGAGTGATTACACTTGATTATCGCAAGCACTGCATCTTGTACACTATCCTTGATCACTTGTGGAAAATCAAAGGCAATACTGTACTTTATATTTCTATTAGGACATGCAGCTTACATCACTTCGGGAGGCGATATTATTTGCTGTGCATTGCACTTGTGATAAGATTTCTAAATAACCATGCCCTTCACTGTCTAGAAACCAATGATACTGCACAGTAAGAATAATTATTTTAAGTCAGTCTCTGTGAAGGTTTCTTACAAGAAATTGGGTTAAAATCTGCATGTTGCTGGCTTCTGTTCTCCTTCCTGGGATGCTTCCTCACACACAGCAGCCAGCCTCTCCTTCAGCAGGAGATGGCTCTGTTTACCACCAGGTTGTGTTTCACCTCCACATTTCAAACCTCCTAATGAGATTTGGCTTTGATTTTCCGTGCCTTAGGGGAGGAGGAGGAGGAGAACTTGGTGAAAATAAAAACAATGATGGTGTGGTGTCATTTTAAACAGTTGTTCTGATGAATAATTTAAAACCATGCAGACAGCAACTGATTCTAGGGCTCTCTAAGCTCATATATGCTGCCAGGAAATTAAAATATCCTTTTAGGTTAGCTTTTATTTCAACAGACTAAGACCTACATGTTGTTGTTTTTTTAAAGTAGAGTATGAATTTAAAGTTCTCTAAAATTAGTAGTGGCCCTCTTGACGGCTAAATGTATGGCTGATGAGGTAAAAAAAAAAGAAAGGGACAACTGTTCTCTGGATGGTGCAAAACCACAAAAGCAAAACCTCAAGGTGACATGTTGCATTTTACTGCTGTGGATGATTAAAGCTGAGTTAATTCTAACTACTTTATACCCTGCATCCATCCTACATCAAATTCTATAAGATCATGATTCACCATCCTGTGAATTTAGAAACAACTGCCGTGTTTTCAGCCTTTGTGACAATGCATTTTCTAGCTAATCCATTTTTTAAAAAAATCATTTATACATCTTAAGAAGCAAAAGAATTTTTTAAAGGCTATAAAGAAACACAGAATCCTTCAGTTCATCACAAACATTCAGTATCTACAAGTCTAGATATGCATGAGTTTCACCACTGTGGAAGGGTATGAAAAACTGAAGTCTAAAAAGAGTGAAAGTAAAGCTGTCAGTCAAATGTAGAAAGTGCAGTATTTGCCCCTGGATGTACTACAGTAAAGGTATGATCATGTATATTACATTTTCATACAGCCAAATTCCCATTAAAGCTGTTCTCATTTACATATTTTCCTGTTTCTGTGGTCTGATAATGCAACAAAGTATGAAATGGTGACTGAAGTAAAGCCCATTCAGACCACATGTTAACCAGCAGTCAGTTAAAAACACAGACTATGCAGTGATTTAGTGATATTTCCATGTAAAATGCTAATATGGAAAGTTAAGGACATTAGAAAGTCCATCAATCAGTTGTTGTGCAGTCAACTATATTCCTCCTATACTTCTCTGTTGCAGAGGGAGTGCATTCAAGTATCCACACTATCATACAATATAGTATGCAGAAAAAAAAAAGAAAAGATGCAGTATGTCTCATTTATAGTACCCAGCATTATGTCTCGGCTGTAGTACTACATCCAGCTGGATTTTGCAGTATGTAAACCAGCATACTTTTCTGGCTACTCTCTGTGCAGTTACTTCACAGTGTCTCGCTGAGTGTGAACAAGCTTGAACCCACCGAGGGCACACAGACAGATGATAACTCATTGTACACTAAAGACTGCAACGGTCAGTTTAAGGCGCAATATAATGACAAAGTAGTATGTCCTAGCTGTTTGCATACTGCATGAAACTATATGTATTCTGGAAGTGCAGCTGCAGTTCTAGAATGCCTTAAAGAAAAACTAATTTTAAAAAGTATGTGTTTTGGAACAACCAGAAAGAGTCTTCTTCCTGAAGTGGGCGTGTACAGCGCCATATTAGCATATTTAAAGCTACAGACACTAAAAAGGCCATTTGGAATGAAGCTAAAACCAGGATTTTTAAATAAAATAAATTATCTCTGCATTATTTTGAGTTGAAGAATCAAAAGATACACTCTGAAGATGTGAAACTTGCATTACTTGTTGGAAAGGGGCCACAATAAATAAACATTTTACTTAAAAACTTGATGTGACTGACTTACTTAGTTGCCTCATTGCATCTTCGACTGTGCCTTGGTATGCATTGCTGCATAGAACAAGCACTATGGGTTTTGTTCTCCATCACTTGCACTGCACTCATACCAGGAACCTATAATTTAATGAGTCACAGCTTAATTACACAAACAGCATGGTGGAGGCTGCACCCAGCGCTTGTCTGCGGTTGCACGGGTGAGTACAGCAATTTAATCAGCGGGAAAGGACAGGCCATAGTTTCACCATCAGATCTGTAATAACCTGTATTCTACATGGACGCGAAACACAGTCCTGTCACACATCTTACTTTGTATTCTAGCACACAGACTGTACACCAAGCAGATGTCTTTTGCATCCTACGTTTTTCAATTGTCTGCTGTGGCTTTCACTTCCTGCAGGAGCCACGATTCAATATGTGTTCACAGCAATTGAAAATAATTCACCCATATTATCTAGAAAACGGAGTTCCATAAAGTCGTGTTGTTTTGTTGACTTTCTTTAGCCTGCCAACTGATAACTCATGTTAGAGAGTGACACATTTCATTGTACATTTCTTAAATAAACGAAGTGTCGTCCACAGTAGTGCTGCAAGTGTGTCTTGTCATTTAACGAATTATATTCATTAAGATATACCTGCTTTTTTAAAAAAAAATTATTTAATTTGAAAATAATACCTGCTCTAAATATAACCACGATCTTATTAAATGATTTAAAACGGGAACATACCGCACAAAACTGGCATTTACAACTTTCCCATACAATTGAATGCGTCACAGCGCGGTGGCAAATGACAGTTGTCCCATCCCGTGATTGACCAACGTGACTGACCAATCAACGTGGCTCCTGTAACACCCGCAAACCAATCACTGGAGACCGAACCATCACTTGTCCAATCACATTCGAGGGGGCAGATTCTAATTTTGTTGTAGTCCCGCGTCTAATGATGGAAGATGAATGAAGCGGTTAGCTTGCTTTTGGCTAGCAAGTAAACATCGCTGCATACTAACTGGCACTGCTGTGCTGAAACACGGGGTGAGAAAGACACTGTTTGAGCTGCATAGATGATCCACCTACCGGGTTCCGCATGCTTTGCTACATAAGGCTGGACTGCAAACTGACCCAGGTGTAGAATGCTAATAACAAAGTTAGCATGCAGGGGCGGAAGTATGTTGGTGAGGATGCGAGGTTGAAACTCTCAGGTGAATGAACTGATTACACATCATCTCTAGAGGGTAGAGAATTTCGAGAAGCATGGTTTTTGCTTGTAGCGAAATTGGCAGTGCTAAATATGTGTCCAGTTTGATGTGGCAAGCATTGCTAACTGTGTGGCTAGTTACCGTTAGCTTTGTGCGGTGCGTTTACTGTCTCGTTTACCATTTGTTTACAGAAGCTAATACACCATAATAGGTGGAACCTGGCATACAAATGTTGACACTGAAAGACTGTTTGGCATATATGTGTGTGTATGTTATGTCAATCCTAGGAAAACGTTTTCCATATTATTATACTGGTAGCTGTTTGTCTTAATTTTAAATTTCCTCTTAAAAGAATTAAACATCAGTTCTGTGTTTCCTCTTGAAATTATATAAAGTCCTCCTGTTTCACTCACGCAGGCTGAGGCAGCAGTGTCACCATGTACCAGAGCCCAAACAACCCCATGAAGCCCAGCTGCAGCAGCAGCAGCAGCATCACGGAGCTGCTGAGCGCCCTGTGTGACTGCAGCCTGTCTGGAGTGTCGTGGAAACGCAGAGCTCTGGGTGGAGTTTCCAGAGAAAGTTTCCGCAGATCTCTCAAGAAGCGTGCCTACGGAGCCCTGCTGTCAAAGCTATTTCAAGATGGCACCAAAGGGTCTTCCTCCATACCAAGTGCCACAGCTAATACGCCACCCAGAAACAAAGTCCTGATGATATGTTTTGACTTACGGGTGGCGGGCTGCCGGGAGGATGCCGAGAGGCTGGAGGAGCAGCTGGAGATGCTGCCGGAGGGAGCTTCCTCTGGTCTGAAGGAAGTAGACGCAGTCCTCGAGCTCCTGGTGCATCTAGCTGGTTCGGCACCCCCACCCCCTACCTCTTTCAGCAGAGACTACATGAGGCAAGAGAGGCCTGT